AGCGTGGAGGAACTGTTTCCTCTGTGTTGACCCTCCTCTTTGTAGACTGGACACTGGTTCAAGTCCATCTCGTGGGGTCTCAAACCAGGGAGGTAAAGGAAAAGAAATTTAAAACATTTCTACGGACTTTAACCTTTTTTTTTTTGTCACAAATAGTGATGTTTATTGTTCATAGTATTTAAATAAATACTGGAGTTCCTCTTTCCTGCCATGAGGTTGATGCTTATCCATTGCTTCAGATCTTGAATACAGATATGCCTCCAAACAAGAGAGAAAAATGACTAACTGATGCTCATCTGGGTGGTGAGAATGGCTGACTTGTCTGTGTTACCTGAACCACTGAAATGCATCCCATGTGACCACGTCTCAGAATTAAATGCTATTTAAACATGACTACGTCATTCTATTTTTGGTTGTTGACACTTTAGTTCATAATAGTTCACTCATGGTCTTGTACTTCTGTTGTACTAACTTAAGATGTGAACTTGTCAAAATTGTCCATTTCTTCTGACTTGCAAATATTCTTCCAGTCTCCCAACAGGAAGTGGTTCCATCTTTTTGTTTCTTCCCTGATTTCTTTCATCAGTGATTATTATTTTCATTGTTTAAGTCTTTTATTTTCATGGTTAAGTTTACTGTTAGGGTGGGTTTTTTTTTTTTTTTTTTGAGGTGGGCAGGCAGGTACTGTGAATGAGATTAATGATTTTATTTTTCTCAGCAAATTTTTTTAGAAAATCATGTATAGAAAAAGCTCCTTGTTTTTTCACCATATTTTATTATTTCTATTTTATATGCATGAGTGTATTGCCTGCATGTACATGAGTACTTATGTCGTGCAATGCCTGCGGAGATCAGAAGAGTGTGTTGGATCCCCTGGAACTGGGCTTATTTAAGGTTGTTATCTGCCATCTGTGTGCTGGGAATCGAACCTGGGTCCTCTGCAGCAGCAGCCAGTGCTCTCAAGCTCTGAGCCATCTCTTCAGCCCCAAGTTCCTAATTTTACTTGTTGAAATTTGCACCCTGGTATTTTTCTGAATTTATCAGTTTTTAATAGTCTTGATTTTCATGTGAATGGAATCATATTGTCTACAGTTTGAATTTCACCTTTTTTATTTGTAGGCTTTTTATTTTTTTTCTCTTTCTTCACTGCACTGGCTAAAACTTCTAGTACCATATTTCATGAAAGTGGGTATCTTTCTTTGATCCTGATCTTAGAAGAAATGCTTTCAGGTTTTCTCTTTTTAGGATGTTGACTGTGGGTTTGCCATATATAGCCTTAATGATGTTGAAGTAATTTATTTAGATAGCTCATCATGAAGATATATTGAATTTTATCAAATGCATTTTCTACATCTATTTGAGATGATCATATGACTTTTATTCTTCATTCATGTGATCCATTATATTGATTGATTTGCAAACATTGAACCTTTTTTACATCCCTGGGATGAAACCCACTTGATCATGGTCAATGAGCAATTTGTTGGGCCACAGTTCTTGATTTGCATGGGTTTTGTTGAGAAATTTTGCATCCATGTCTATCAGTAATGTTGCCCTTTTTCTTGTGGGCTCCTTATTTGAGCCTGGTAGCAAGTTAATGCTGGCCTTATAGAATGACTCTGGAAGGGCTATGTTCCGTTTATTTCTTTGGAATAGTTTTAGAAAACTGGCATTATTTTTTCTTTAATGTTTATAATTCAGCAGTGAAACCATTGGTCCTAGCTTTTCTTTGTTGGAGAATTATTACTAATTTGACCTTATTATTTGTATGAATATGTTCAAACTTTTTTGGCCTACTTTGGTAGGTCATATGTATTCAGAAATCTGTTCATATAGTCAAGGTTTCATTGGTATAAGCCTTTCCATGACAATCTCTGATGAGCCTTTGTATTTCTGTGGTATTAGTTTTAATGTCTCATTTTTCAACTCTTGATTTTATTTGGATCTTCCATGCTATTTTCTTGATTGGTCTAGCTAATATGCATGGTGAAGATGTAGTTAAGTCCACTTGGGGGTCCTAAAAGCCTTTGTACACGGTGTCCACATCTTTCCCAAGATTAGGGAAGTTTACCATTATTAATTTGGGGAATAGGCCTTCTGTGGAATTACCTTTCTTTGCCTTTGGGCATTCCCAGAAGGGGACTATGCAGGGTTTTCTGCATATTCCCTTGGGCCAAAGCCCAGGTCTCCAGATGGCTGCTGACAACAGCAGCCTGTGGGCTCACAGAGATGTTTTTTATTCTTTTCCAAATCCAGGCTACAGTGCATGTTTCATCGTGCTGCAAGAGTGAGACTGCGAAGGTTTCAAGTAGAGTGCTAGCATCTGCATTAGTAGGTGTGCTGAGAATATTTTTCTCTCATCCTCACCCTGACAAGGGGGAGATGCCTGCCCCACTCCAGATTCAGAGTGGCAGATGCTGGAATATTTTCTTCCTATGCTCTTGTCCCTGGTCTCTGTATCTTAAGAGTTTCCAATCTCTTTCTTGATCCAGTGATTTTTTCCATGGTCACGCATCTCAAAGTGCATCTATATACTGTGATTATTCTTGATAGAGGAATGCTGGGAACCCCTATTCTGCCACCTGCCTCCTGTCTTCCCCAGGAACGTTATATATTTTTCCTGGAGTGTAATTACATGGCAGCTACAGAGTCAATAGTGATTAATGTCGTTCTACCAGGAGGGACTGACAGAAATATTGCAGCATATTAACACAAGATACCTGGACTGGGGGGGGGGCTTACCCTCCATTTAGCAGGCTGTGTAGCCTTAAGTCTCAGTTTGTAAGCTTCAATTTTCCCACATTTGAAGCAGGGATTAATAATCTTGCCTCATAACAGCTGTGTGAGGTATAAAAGCTTTGAAAATCAACAAAACAGGCCTCCTGAGATGGGTTGGGTTTGGCCAACATTTCCATCCCACATTTCAGTATTTAGTATGTTAACAATGTGCTCTCAGCTCAATTTTTTGGTCTCTCATATCACCTATCTCATCAGTAATGGGCAGCTCTGTTAAGAAAGTCCGAATTACTCACCTCTGAAAGACGGTGGACACTGACCCATCTCTGAAGCATCCAGGATCCCAAGAAGGGCCTTGTCTGAGGTTAAGTCAGGATTCTGTAAGAGTATCTCTGATACACAAAACAGGTACCACAAGCTGACTGGTGTGATTATCACTTCCTTGACAGGGAGTCCCTATGCTCTAATATGCAACAAATCACCTGGGGGATCTTTTTCAATTTTTATTGAATTTTTGCATATTTCATACATAAAATCATCTTTATGCCCCCTTCCCCCTTGGCACCCTCCCATAGCCCCCCACTGATCATCTTTTTAAAAAGGATTTATTTACATGTATAGGTGTGTGCTTGTGTGAGTTTATGTGTACCATATGTGTGCAGGTGCCCTTGGAGGTCAGAAGAGTGAACTGGAATTTCAGGCAGTTGTGAGGCACCTGATGTGCATGCTGGGAACCAAACCCAGTTCTTCTTCAATAACAGTAAGCATCCAGTTCACTGGGAACTCTTCTTAAAATGAAGATTTTGACCTAGTATGCAGAGTAGGGCTTGGGTTCTGCTTTTGTAGATTTGTTTCCTGCAGTATTTTGATGCTTTTACTTGAAAGGCCAAAGATAAACACTGGAACTGCTCATAAAAACTCAAAATAGACAAGAGGCTTATCTGCAAAATTATTTATTTACATTTATGCTCATATTAAAATCTTTCTGGGATGGAATGGCTAAGATGAAATTTACAAAGCCGACAGAAAAACATGAATCTTTATCTGAACAGAATTCTAGAGATGGCTTTAGATTAACTTGTTTTCCTTCATAAAACAAATATTCGCTTAAACTATGTTGTGACAACGTTCCCTCAGAAAGAATAAACTTGGTTTGTCGCGTTAAAAAAAAGCTGAAAAGCAATAAAGGGAAAAGTGAAAGCTGTTCCTAAACAGTGGTCTACACTCCATGAAACCAAAACTCTTTAAATGCTGAGATGTTCAAATAGGGCCAAATATTATCTAATGAACCTTTCAATACATGAGGTTTTGTTATTAGGCTTTGACCTGGTTTTTGGCATTACCTGAATGACTCATTGGAGTGATATAATTACACATTGCAAGTAATCCATTCGAAACAGGACTTGCTTAAACACTGTAGTATTACAGTGCACTCAGACGTGCCTTGACTGGGAATACCTTTAAGAGAGGCTGACAACACCACATTTCTCTTTTTCTTCACTCAGCAAAGTAAAAAGAGAAATCACAAATTCATTTTCCACATATTAAGAAACAAAAGTCTGACATGAAGTCTTAGTTATTTCTTTTTTAAAAAGTCACTCAAAATAATACCTGCTTTGGATATTGGTCCTCTTCTTATACTTTAAAAGTCTATGATTTCATGATCTATTGTAAAATATGCTGATGGCTAAATATATAAACAACTTCCAGGAGGGATTCCCATTTTAAAAATTGTCTAAAGTCTAGCTTGAGTTAGAGTTTTTAAAAAATAAATAAAACAAAATACTGTGGTTGGCTCTACCCTCAACTCCTACTTTTCCCCCTTCACAAGTCTGAACTTAGGAGCAAAGGCCTCTGAAGAACAGAAGACGGCAAACAGGACAGTGGAGGTCTCACCACTGCACGGCCTAGTACTTAGTGTAATGCATTATACCAAAGGAGAACTCCACCCCTTTTCCTCGAAGAGGCAGTCTCACTACTTTACTAACTGTTCTTAGATAAAAATAAAGTTTAAAGAACCAGTACTTTTTTAAAAAAGTAGATGAATTTCTATAAAACACACAACTTGTGATTTTTAAAGACTGCAACTAAAAAGTCTGAAAACAAAATCTAAATGTAATTTTAATGTCTTTAACAGGTATTCTAAAAGCTTTAAGCTACTTTCTAAATGGCCAGTTAAACTCCCACTCTAAACTGTTTCTCAAAAGAAAGAAAGAAAGAAAGAAAGAAAGAAAGAAAGAAAGGAAGAAAGAAAGAGAAGAAAGAAAGAAAAGAAAAGACTGTTTTGATATCTAGGCCAGCCTGGGCTGCATAGTGAGACCCCATCTTAAAAGAACCCCCCCAATAAAAAAATTAAAAAACCTGTTGCATAAATGTATAAATTTAAGTATCTGAATAATATTTATCATAGTGATCTCTTTCCCTTACTTCATAAGTGGGGTAGAGCAAGAAATAAATACATAAATGTGAGCTAAATTAATTTTCATTGAAGTAGCATTCTGATTTTGCATAAAAGGATTCTAAACATGGTTTAAAATTTTTTTAAAGTCCTATTTACAGTCATTGTACATCACTTTATATACACATAAATACAAATTTATAAAAACATTAACCTATACTTTTCATAATATAAAAAATAAAAATTACAAAACTAAACCAACTGTTGGAGAAATAAGCTTGATCAATTCCAGTGGCATTAACCTTGAGTGACCTGAGGCATCTCACATAAGCACTGCATAGAGGCTCAGTCTTTGACCTTAGCCTAGGCTTATCCACAATTTAAGAACAAAGATTCCTGTTAAAGCTAATGCCATATAAGCAGTTGAGACGAAAGATTTGGGGGAAGAATGAGAGCAGATGTCAAGTATTTTGATATATAATTACAGGGAATGATTAAAATTAATTCTTTTTCCAGAGGTGGCGGGTGGGGGAGGGGATCAGGACTTTCTGGTAATAGTAGCTGTGGTTCCCTGGGCTGGCAGAGTGGGCAGTTAGGCCACAAGGAATTGTAAAATTTCTTGACGGAAATTACTTGGTTGAGTTTCTCATATCACATGACTTTTCAGGCAGTTTGCCTTATCTTGTGTTCCTGCCATAAAGCAATGCTAACTTTTCTCTTGTAAAGGGAAGTTTTTTATTTAACTTCTCTCCCTATAAAAACAAGCAGGTGGTTGAGATGAGCTTTGGTAGTCCCGCATCTGATAAGCCCTCCACGTGCATGTGTGGGTATACTTAGGTTTATCGTTCTGTAATTCTGGGGTCTTGAGAATGAGTGCAAAGTCCCATTTGGCATTCTTCACCTCCAATGGCATTCCCATTGTTTTCCACAGCATGAAATTCTAATGTTCAGACTTGAGGTATCAAAAGGCTAGAAGCATAGAAATCTTGACTTGTATTAAACAAATGGCAGAAACTCTACTATAAGTTAGAAGACATTTTTAACTCTAAAGTCAAGGCCTTTCAGACAAATAAGTGCACTAAAATATAGACATAAAAATTTATGGCTGTAAATACATAAGACAAATAAATAAGGTTACATGGTTTATACATGTCAAATTTTTAAAGAGGCTGGGCAGCAGTTCAGGAAGACAGTTGAAAAAATTGTTCCCTGAGTTCTTGGTGTGACCTCAAAGGTATGGCCGTGAACTCCAAGGCTTTGGAGAAAGGAGAATCCCAGGTCCTCTTCCAAGAGTGGCATTCAATGATCTGTTCAATGCTCTAACTGTAGTTCAAATGCATCTATTTCTTAGAAGACAAGGTCCTCCCCCACCAAAAAAACCCCCTATAAGTGGAGGAGAAAAAGGCTGTGAAAGAAAGCAAAGCTTCATCACTAAGAGTACAGGTGAATCACTCACTTCTCAATCTATGATACAGCAAGAATAGGTGTCAGAAGGTAAGAAGTCTACAAACTTAGACTTTTCTAATCTCAGTGGTTACTGAGACAAACCTTCTTTAAAACAGCATTACAGTCTATCAATTAATTCAAAGAACCAAAACTACTATAAACAGAATGACTTCAGTATTTAAATGTTAACATATAAATTTGTTTTTTAAATGAAAATTATAACCATTGTAATTTAAAAAATCTGGACTGTAATGACAGCTTGATATATAATTGTAATTAAAAAACATTAAAAACTGGGATTTCAAGGTTCTTAAATTATTTGCATATATTTTCTTTCTTGGTAGCTATTCGTAGAATACTTAAAATTCAAAGCTTGTGGATAATTTAAATAGCAAACTATGTGATCTGTGGAATTCCTATGAGTATCTATTTGGAGACTCTAATTTCGCTGCTGGCAGATTTAGGGTAGGCTTAACTGTAAGCCATTGGAAGTGTTGTAATAAGGAGGTTTGGAGAACCTGTGGAAATGTCCCGGTACTTCAGTACAGTGTGCACAAATGCATCCTTTGGTGTGGCTATGACCTCAGAGGAAGCACGGAAGCCAGTGGTGCCGGAGCCAGGCTCCTGACAATGGTGCTGAGGCTGGCGATCTTTTCTTCTAGGAGGTAATTTTTCTTCTCTGCTGTTTTCTGTCGCTGTTCTGTCATTTCCAGAGCCTTTAACAACTGGGCATTTTCAACATACAAATCTTTCACCATCACATCTGTTTTTGTATTTTTGCAGAGCTAGGACAGAACGAGAAACACCTTTATTCCATTTCTGTAGCTACTCTCAAGTTTAAGGTCTGACAGAAGGATAGTCAGTTAATGGCAAATCACTTCTGCCAGTTATATGCTCTTGGTCTGCAATCTAGCTGTGACATCATAGTTGGTGGTGGGGATACAAACAGAGCAAATCCAAAATTTTCAGGCTGTTTCTTTGCATAATCTGGTTGTGGAAGTTACTAATACAAAAAGCGTATTTCTATTTGAGGACTCAAAAATGAATTTCTCCCACGTAAATTGATGTCATTCCTTTATTCATTTTGAATGATACCAAACACTTGTACAACCTGAATTTTTATGATGTGAACTGTGTTAAACTCTGCTCTTAACAGATGTTTAAGATTTGTATTCATAACTGCAACCTATAGTATGGATTTTTAATACAATGGAGTATTTCAACATTTAGCTCATGAATCCTTAAGTCACCCCCTGGGGCCTTGTCTAGAGGGTATATCCAAGCTCTTAGGGGTAGAATATACAGTTAGGTTGGGGAGGGAAAATTCGTTAGCCAACCTGGAATACTTTCTACTGTTCCTGTTAATATCGTCAATCTCCTTTCCTCTACTTTTTTTTTTTTTTTTTTTTTTTTTTTTTTTTTTTTTTTTTAAAGACAGGGACTCTCTGTAGCCCCTGCTGGCCTGGAACTTGTTATGAAAACCAGGCTGGCCTTGATCTCACAGAGATCTGCCTGCCTCTGCCTCTACCTCTGCCTCTGCCTTGCTGGGATTAAAGGTGTGCACCACCACGCCTGGCTTCCTTTCCAATCTTTAACTCCTCATTTCATAGCCAATTTCAAGCAGGGTTAATAAAATAGAGAGCAACTACAGAATGGATAACTGAATTATTAGTATTTCCAAGGACAATGATCTGGATGGCTGGCAGTTATGGTGCACATCTCAGAACCTACTCGTCACTGAAATGTTCTAACTCACCTTTCCTTTTCCCTCCCTCCCTCTCAATTAAAAGACAGTTCAATGCCTACAAGACTAGCAAAGCTAGCAAGACTCTCCTCTCCAGATCTCCCCTCCTCTCTAGTGTCTTCTCTCAGGACAATATGAACTGGCAGTGACAAGTGTTTATAGATGCCCATGTACATGTGTCATCCTCATTCTGTGACGTTCCTACAACCTGGACGGCCTTTCCTACATTTTTTCACCCAAATCTGAAGACTTAAGGTTTAAGAGGTCTTCAGGAACCTCCTGCTAAACTCCTGCCTTGGATCAACCATACTGTGTGTCTCTCTATGAAAATAGAGCTAGCTCTTGTTTATTTTGAACCTGCCACCTGGAGAAATGCTTGGCTCTTTCTAGGTACGCTAGAATTCACATTCCGTATGCTTAGGGCTTTACTTTGCTCACGGCTACATCTCTAGTGCCCAGAGCAGGGTCTGACAGATAGCAACTTGTGCTGAACATACGAACCTGCAAAGGACCGAATGGACAAATGCTCACTAACACTCCTTCTCGCTCCTGTGTTTAAGATACAGAGCAAAGGAAAGTTTCCTCAGGCATCCAGACCCTCTCCTGTGATTGTCATTCTTAGGTTTTATGTACCTAGAAAACCAGGGTTGGAAATTTCTGCCCTCTACCCAACCAGTTTGTCTCAATCTCCTGTTTCTGAGAGGACTGTAACACTTTCTGGGGTGGTAGTGCTCCTTACCTATCTTTTCCAAGGATATACATGTAGCTTCTAAATAGTATATTGACATATGTCATCAGCAGGTGAAAAGATCAAGTTGCTTAATGGTCTGAAATTTGGGGTCCAGACCCCATTTAAGCTTATCCTTTGGAAGCCTGGCTATATAGCAATAAGACACTTAAAATTTTATTTATTTATTCGTGTGTGGGCACATGCATGTCATAATGTGCACGTGGAAGATGAACCGAACAATTTATGGGAGTTGGTTTTCTCCTTTCACCATGTAGGTTCCAGGGATCAAACCCAAGTTGTCAGGCTTGGGGGCAAGTGCCTTTACCCGCTGGGCCATCTCACTGGCCGCACTTCTTGAGGTTGCTATAAGCTACTAGGAACAGGAAAATCAAAGCTCCAATTATTTAATTTTTAAAAAAATCATATAGTTTTTCTGTTCACTTAAAGAGGTATATTTCTTATCTTGGGTGGAAAAAAAAATCTCTAAGTATCCAGTTCAAGCACCTGAACTTCATTAGGAACATTTTTGTGGTGAACCACAATTAGCAAATATACATTTATAAAATTATGGACAAACAAACCTCAAAAGAGTGTTGGGAAAAACTAAAATGTAGAATTCATATTTGGGGGCTCATATGAGGAAGAATAATTCCTAAGTTCTCTGGCATTACCAGCAGAATCTACTTCATTAACAGCCACAAAATTAACGGCTATAATAGAAGGATGTGAAATTTGAAGTTGAAACTGCAATGTGGGGGCTGGAGAGATAGCTCAGTAAGTGTTTGCCCTGAGGCACGGGGCCTGAGATCAACCCTCCGCACCCACATAAAAGCTTGGCACAGTGACGCACACTTGGAATCCCTGTCCTGCAGAGGAGGCGACAGGCAGATAGCCTAATCAGTGAGCCCTAGGTCCCAATGAGAGACTCTGCCTCAAAATACAAGGAAAGCTACTGAAAAACAATCCCTGAGGTAGACATCCGGTATGTGCATGCACACACACACTATTGGAATGTGAGGAGGACAGTAGAGTCAACGGAGAAGGCGCACCTGTTCTTTGAGCTGATTCACTTTCTCCTGAAGAAGCCTTTTCACCAGTTTCAATTTCTGTTCAACTTCTATCATTCGTTCTTCCATGAGAGTTACTAGGTGTTCCTGGCTTCCCTGAAGGAAAGAGGAGGGAGAAGTGTATTATCATTTGAAGATCATGCCTTATTAGAGATACCAGTGATTTATTCTCCTGTAAAATGCCTAAAGAAAGGATGGCCAGTGCTTTGCCTTCATAATGGGAAGGATGGATTTCTGATGAAATGGGAGTTCTGAGCACTGCATGAGCCAATCATCTTGGAAAAACAGCCCTGTCAGAGAAGCAGCAAAGATAAAACAAAGAATCTTACCTGTGGTACCATTGTCCCCTGATACAATTTCTTAAACCCATAATTAAAAACCTGTGTGCACTTCTAATAAGATGGGTATCCACTGTAAATTAAAACATAATGACCAGCCTTCCATTGTGATTTGAGCCTTGGCAATACTGCGGGTCTCTCAACAACAAGGCAAACACTGAATTTATTTGGGATTGGTTAATGTTTCCAATCAGCTTGCAACACACACGTCTCGTTTTTCCTTTGAAATGACTGATTACTGTGAAAGTGTTAGAATGTTTTCTTCATAATAATCAGCTTCTTCCTGCTAGTTATCTGTTCACCTGTTTCCCAGTTCAACTTGTCAGTGTGAAGCAAACATCTGGATGAAGGATGCTTTTATCACCAAAACAGACTAGAAGTTAAAAATCTCCTAACAGCTTCTACCTAGATGAAACCACAGCACAGCAAGAGACCTGGTCTTCCCTCTTCTTTTCATATAACAAGATGGGTTAAGGGGAATGGGGGTTAAGGAAGCCAAGTAACTGAGAAACAGAAGGGGAGAGAGGGAGAGGGAGACAGGGAGGAGAGGGAGAGAGAGGGGAGAGAGAGAGGGGGAGACAGGGAGGAGAGGGAGAGGGAGACAGGGAGGAGAGGGAGAGGGAGAGAGAGGGGAGAGGGAGGGAGAGTAGGGGGGAGCATGCTAGTTAGCTGCCGGACTGCCCCTCCTCTCAGCCCATCAAAAGGCTCACGTCAGGAATTTTAGATTTCAGAAGGTACTTCAAGTCTTTAAGCATAACCCAGGTGTAAATGATTGGTGACACTTTAATATTCTTAAAAGGCACACTTTCAATTTTATGTCTTACAGGGTTTATACTGAGTTCAATATTATAGAACTATTAATTCAACAGTGAACCTAAAATTTTTATAGGCAGTTTTGAAAGAGATGTATCTTTGCTCTGGAAACTATTATTGAGTATGTTAAAGCTGTAATGAAATGCTTCTTCTAAAAAATAAATATATATAAAAAAACAAAAACAACAACAAAAAAACCCCTAGCCCCCCCCAAAGGCACACTTTCAAAAAGATGGAAAACAAATATGAGTTAGAACCTAGTATTTGCTTGGATTTAAATAACAGCACTAAACCATGTGACCAATTTGAAGATAAAACCTGTAGCTGGCAAAAATCTCTAATGTACAAAGAAAATTTCAAAAAATAGGGCCCCAGACGTCTGGCCTTTACGAAGGCCTGTATTTTTGAAAGATATAATGGCCTTCTAAAGTTCAACAATGAAAAATGCTTCATTTCCACCCCCCCAAATAAAAGCAAAACAGAAAACCATAGTAACAGATAATCTGAAGAACAGTATTGCAAAGGGGGGGGGGGCAGATGGCCAAAGAAGACAGACACATATTTAAATTTTATTTTATTGTTACATCAAAAATTTCCTTTCTTCTGTCAAAAAGTATTATATATCTTATACAAAACAGTATAAATAACCCTGATTTTCTTCAAATTCCATATATAAAAGTAGTACCTTTTGTTAAAAATAATTACAACATAAGGAATGAGAAAATATATAGAATATATCCTTTCAAGAATCTTAAATCCACGCTTTAAACCATATAAATAAAATGATTTGTAACAGGCTGAAGTTTGTGACTGATTCACCAAATCTGTTATTTCTGCATAAATAAGAGACAATTGTGTAAAGGCTTAATAGTATAAATAACAGAATAATTTAAAGAGCACTTGATCTCAACATCTCAGCTCCTGTCTGTGGGGTGTGTTGGGTGTGTGTGTGGATGTGTGTGCATTTGAGAATCTGCCATGGTAACAAATACCATCCATAGCAGCCCAGTTTTCAGAGGTGCCCAATCCTTCTGTAGGAATCTGCATGCACTGCTCGCTGCTCCGGTAGCACAGCCTAGAGAAAGAAGGCAAGTGGTATACTTCACCCTGGTATCAAGGTTATAGCTTCTTTGGGGGAGTCTAAATTCACACACTTATAATGCAAACAAATTCTTAATGCACACACATTAACACTACATATGCAAGGAAAGCAATACAAAGGCAGACGAAACTACTCACTCCACACACAGACACTGTGCAGATTTTATAATATTCTGTATTCTTAAAATTAGAGTCAGCTTAGCAACCGGAAGAGAGGAGAGCCTGGAGTGCTATTCTAATGAGAGTAATAAACAGTCTCCTTCTGGCTGGAGGATTTTTTTTTCTCCTGAATAGTTTTTGTGTAGTCCTGAAGTTATTGGAACAAAAGGCATCTTTGATTCTCAAACACTGTTGGTTGGATTAGGAAGAGCATACTTTAAATTTTTTAAAATTTAAGTTATTTTTATTTTCAGCACTCAGGAGGCAGAGGCAGGCGGATCTCTGTGAGTTTAAGGCAAGCCTGGTCTCCATGGTGAATCCAGGACAGCTGGGGCTACAGGGAGACCCTGTCTCAAAAAGACCAAACACAAAAACAAATTATTTTTATTTTATGTGTCTAAATGTTTTAGCTGCATGTATGTAAGTGCACCCATGTTATGCAATGCCAAAAGAAGCCAGAAGAGGGTTTTGGATTCCCTAGAATTGGAGTTATGGATGATGGTTGTTAGCGACCATGTGAGTGCTGGGAACTGAACCTGGGTCTTCTGAAAGAGCGTCCAGTGTGGAAGGGTATGTATGGGATAGCAGTGAGTAGAGTTTTAGCCAAATCACTTGGTTTAGAAGGCCCCTTAGAAAATGAGGCCAAGCTTAATGCAGAGTTGAAGCATCCCTTCATAGGGTTTTTTATTTTAAAATTTCACTTTAATATTGGGAAGCTGGAGTGGTATGTGGAGAGTTGAAGCAACTCTGTAACAGTCCACCATTGCACTTTTAAGAAAGGGATTTAATATTTGGAGGTTATAGTGGTACACAGAAAGCTTCCAAAAGCATGTATTTTAAAGCACATACACAAACAGACTTTTTGAAAGTTTTGCTAAGAATGAGTGGCAGGAGTATGGCTCAGCACAGCCAAGCGTGGCTGTACGTTAATAAGAGAAGAAAGCGGAGTGCTCCGTGGGTAGTACTAATGTGACTTTGCAAACCCCGTCTAAAGGATTCGGAAAGAATGGGAAATTCCTCATCAACCATTAACGGGGAGGCAAGCACTTGGAAACAGAAGTGCATCTAAATCAGAAAGAAGTAACTTAGAAATCCACAAAGAAGAGTTTTATTTTGGATTTTTACTCTTAATTATACGTTGATTACATGGGCAAAAGCAAAGAGGAAATTTCTGAAAAACAAAGATGATGACTAAATCACTGAAGAGAAACAATGGTTTGAAAACATGGGTGATATAAGATGTTATCTGTAGTGAGGGAGGGTAATGCTGGCTCTCAGGGCATGGGAAGGTCTGTGTTTGCTTAAATAAGCTTTCAAACTAGAATATTCAAACACTGAGTGAAGTGAACTAAGTAACTAGGAACATGGCGCCAACTATGCATTCCACCTGACACTTGAATTGTAACATATGGGTGTCATATGAGAACGTTAGGCCAACTGTGCACTATGTGCAAGAGATCCCAATCCCCTGTGGTCTACAACTGTGCAAAGGAGGCCCAGCATGCCTGAGTCAAACTTCTAAGTGGAGAGCTTGAAAGTAGCACTGCAAAACCAAACCTACTGCCAGCACTGTGGGGCTGTGGGCCTGTAACTCAGGGAAGACAAAACAACGAGGACTTAGGTTCTTTATCTCCACCTTTGAACTAGTTTATCTTCCAAAGGTAAAGCGAACTAAGTGAGCCGAGTTTCCAGCAGAGGAAAAGAGCTTTGTACCTGTGGTGTGTTGGTTTCGGAGGTCCTGTTGTCCAGTTCCTCCTGCAGGTGTTGGCTTCTCCTTTCTGCCTGTAGCAGCTGCTGCTGAAGCTGCAGAAACTGCTCCCTGGGCACCATCAGACAGGCTTGCTGCTGGAGCAGCTGCAGATCCCAGTGAGGAGATGGGCTAAGCGTCACAGTGGACCTCAGAGGCTGCATCTGAAGGACGGGGGCAAAGAAATATGTTGTTTAATCACAGAGCTGCCCTGGAAGGTGCCAAGCAGGGAGTACCAAAGCCCGGGGTCCCTTCATTGCCTCAGAGCCCCTGAGCACCTGGACACAGGGCAGCACCTAAGTTTGGCAGATGTGAGAAGAACCATTTTGCTGCCTTTTAGAGATGATGTAATGAGTAAGCAGGCTTTCTTTTAAAAGTGAGACTTAGTAGCACTTCCTCACTTCTGAGTGACTATAAGGCATGAGGTCCATCATATGCATGGCACATCTAAATTTTATTTCAGTTTTTCATGCATTCAATTACCTTCTTTCCTTTTGTAAAAGGCAGGATGGGAGTAGAGAAAATGGGAGGAAAGTGGTTGTGCTTTAAGCTTTTTCCACTTTCCTTACCATTCACCAAGATGCTTAAAGGCAAATATTCAGTGTGACTATGTATTTTCTGACCCCAAGTTAACAAAAAAAATTAAAGAATTCTACACTTAAAATGATTTTGGCTATCTTAGTTTAAGTGTAGTAATACCCTTAAATAGCACAAGGCAGGCAAGTACCCTTAAACAAGAAAGGCAAGTGTGGGTCCTAAGGGGCAGTATGGGGCAGAAGGGGCAGTGTGGGCCAGAAGGTAACAACCTAGAACACCTGGGAACTGGAATTAAAGTACTTGTTGAAAACAATGAGGAAACAACGTGTCAACATGCCAATCAAATTTAGGGAATGGAAACGAATGCATTTTGGCCAATGGAATATGCTACCTTGCATCCGTGAACACATTCAGCAGACACAGGGTTCAGTGGGAGGCATGCAGTGCACAGGAACAACATTAAACTCAAGAGGATGCACCTCCAGGCATGTGGGAAGGGAAAAGGGACCTCAGACTCAACTCTAATGAAATGTTGTAAAACTTCAGAGCCACTATCCATTTCATTAAATTTAAATCTCCGAGGTGGGTCATTACACATTTTGAAATATTACTACATATTTGAAAATGTACTTTATATTTATGAATGTGGTGCACATGGTGGATTGTGATTCCATGATTTTATACCAGTGGGATCATTTTCTGCATAATACTTCATATACTGAGGAAATCCTCAGGTAAACAGACATATTCCACAGTTAAAGCAAAATGAAAATGCATACTGGCTCTTACCTAAGCAAATACTAGCTGTTACAGTCAACAGAAACGACTACATGAACCACAGTTTGATGAGATGCCCCCATGCTATGAAAGTTCATCAAAGGGAAGTGTTCTACCTTCACATACTATCTTGGGCACAGAACTGCACCCTTCTCTGCTACTTCCAACCACTGAGTTCTAGGTAGAGGTTAGCCACAGACAAAACAAAAACAAAAGAAAATTACAGGAGTTACAGTAGAAGGAAGAAAGGTGTGAGTTATAAAAAGAGAACAAACAATCCATCTGAGCATATTGTAGACAGAAGAGCCTATGAGCAGCCAACATTCACCTTTTCCTGCATGTAAATTTTAATGCTGCATCTGCATCCTCACGGACTATCATTCGGTTGGTTTGTGAACCTGCCAGCTTTACCCATCCCCATCCCCATCCCCATCTAATCAGAAGGTTCTAGATCCAGGAAGCACCAGTTCTGATGTTAAATCCCTTGCCAGTTGGACATGCAGAATAAGAGCTCTAAAACATTATTGTTTAACTGTCTAAACAGTTGGTTGTCACGGTGACATATAGTAGGCTTGAGAACTGCTAAGACAGTCTATAACCCTTTCTTAGAATATTTGAAATAGTTTACTAAATACTCAACTATTGTATAGTTGAAAAGCCCTGGAGTGGGAGTCAATTTCTTCCATTTCCTAATAGTAATTTTCAACCTTTAATTACACTGGAGTAAGCATGTTACATTGGGTTAGTGACATTTAAACTAGTCTGTAGAGGTGAGCCTCCTCCCAAGGAAGCATATGCAACAGGTAAGAATTATCTATAAAGCTTTCCCCAAAGTCCCTGGCCCCAAAGGCACCGATGTTGCAACATTTCCTTGGGTGCTCACTACCCCTCACCCCCAACAGGTGGGAATCCTGCCAGAGAGCAAGGAATACATGGATACTTTGGGTGAATAAAAAAGCTGGTGTAAAAGCCACTGGACACACCTTCAAATGGCCAAATCCATAAATCTCATACCGTACGATCCAATTTATAAGACTTGTGGAAAAAATGGCTAATGCCTAAGGGTTAGATTAACAAAAAAGTTTGAGTTGCCTTGTTTTTTTTTCGTTTGTTTGTTTTTTTCAGTCTTTTTTGTTATTTATTTATTTTTCAGAGCTGAGGACCGAACCCAGGGCCTTGCGCTTGCCAGGCAAGTGCTCTACCACTGAGCTAAATCCCCAACGCCCCAAAAGGTTTTAGAAGTAGTGAATTTAATTAAAGCCATTGAATTATAAACTTAAAAATGGTTAAAGTTGCAAATTTTGACATAAACATTTCCTCAAAGTTTAAAAATTAATAATATATCCCTAAGTCCAATGGCATGCTTTAAGATATGTACTGCATGTGTATTATCTCAACAGAGTTGTTAGAAAGTCCAATGTGGAGCCTGGCGTGGTGGCATATGCCTGCAGTCTCAGCACTCAGAAGATTCAGGTAGAGGGATGGCAAGTTCAAGGCCAGCTTGGTTTAAATGGGCAGATCCTGTCTCATACAAGCAAAGGAGAGAAAAAAATTCTAATCTGCATAAATCTGTAACACTGAGTTAATAGCTAGTGTTACTTCTTAACACAAGTTTCATTAGAATAGTGTATGAACTATTATTTTCAGTGTTTAAATAGAAAATTCAAGCCTTTTTCTTATTCAGCTGCAGTGCCAGGAACGCTCAGTTTTCTATCTGCAAATATTTACTACTTGGGAAAAAGAATGACAGGAAATTGCTTATGACGGTTAATTATATAAATGGGGCTGGGAGAGAAGGGGACTTCCCAGGCTAGGGCAAGCAGGTGAAGAATTAGTTTGTTGGCAAAGCATCTGTAGAATCCAGCTCGAAGTATTTCCCATTACCCTTTTAGTGTGTTACCAGACACACCCAGCTTAGTTTCAGATATTTTACTGTAATTATTTCATCAGAAAAGCATACCTTACATCCGAGCACAGGCAGAGTTCATGGTGGTGTTGAATGCATTTATTATATGCTGTCAGAAAATATGGTTCAGATTTCGCTATTTATAGTTTCACTGATCTCCCCATTAGTGGATAAGTCAGAACACATAAAATTGCCATAAACCTTAGTGGTCATTTAAATGTCAGTGTGATATGTCTGCCCATATTTCACATTTTAAAGCTAAGCACTAAAGCTACCTTGGCATATATCCAGTTTTAATTCTAGTTTGAAAAGAATGTGTGCACATAGTATTCTCAGAGCATAACAAGATACATTCTATGAATGATTCTTTACCTTATGTAGATTTTATAGTCCACTAAGTATTAGAGTGAGTTTTTCATCTACCCAGAGTAAAACATCTCAATGAAATCTTTACTTACTAAGGAGGGTTTGTACAGAAGGGGCTATCTCCTATTATGGTATTTGGTCTATATGAGAAAGCACATTGGTTACTGGAACTTAATGTGAGTTTTCCAAATCATTTTTATTCTTACTTAAAAAATATTTTATTATTTTTATTTTGTGTATATAAGTGTACTCCCTGCATATGTGTAAGTGCACCTTTGTCATACAATGCCCATGGAGGTCAGAAAGGGGTGCCAGATCCTTGGAACTGGAGTTATAGATGATAGCCATCATGTGGGTGCTGGGAACCCAATACCTGCCCTCTGCAAGAGCAGCCAGTACTCAACCCCTGAGCCATCTCTCCAGCCCCCAAATCATTTTTATATTTATCAAATGTACCTTTCCCAAGGTAGTACTGAGTCACAAATATAACAATAAACAATGGCAGTTGTATGTTTGTTTTTTGCATCACTTGGGAATCTAACCCAATGTCTCACATTCGAGGCTAGTTCTCTGTCGCTGAGCTTTATTTTTGGACCTTTTCAGTTGCTGAAAAGAAACCTACGTGTAAATGTTTTCAGATTTTTCCACATACATTTCCTCACTGGACAGGTTGTTAGAGAACATTCCTATATCACTGCAAGATAGAATGCATCAGGAAACACCAGTGACAACAGCTCTGGGTCCCTTAGCTGATATCAAGCAGAGTCCCTGTGATCTGCAGTTGATGTACATTGGCCTTTGCATTTTGGGTCAAAGTTAGTCTTTCCTCTGCGAAGCAGTACCAAGCCCTATGATTGTATAATTAAGCAAACATATCTGTTCAACTTAGGAAAGCAGAGCAAAGAATTAGACTTGGCAATTATGCAGACTTTCCCAACAGTAACTCAATGTCATGTTTACTGTCTCCCAATAAGTGGCTCATACATACTCTCCATATTAAAGTCATGTAGTTAAAAACTTACCTCCATTAGCTTCTCATCCAGTTTCACCTGTTTGTTTTTCAGACCTTCATTTTCCAAATGAATTGTTTCTAACTCTTGCTCAAGGGAACTCATCTGGCTGACCTGGTTGGGAAAACAAAACAAAACAACAACAACAAAAAAAACACAACCCTTTAAAAAGTCACAAAAACATTAGAGTTGCTCTCCTTTATTTTGATGAGTCTGTGTTAGTCACAGATCTTCATTCTCAGAAGAAAGTCAAGATCATTCAGAAAAGAAAAACGAACAAACAAACAAAACACGGTTCAGTGAGCTGCTGACATTTAAGCAATCTGGATTTGATCATCTCTTCTTACACTGACCAGATCCTCTACATATGGTTTCAAACTTCCATGCCATCCACTGCAAGAAATACACTTTATCTTGTAACACGCTAGCCATACCCACAAGTACATATCACTGCAAGAAAACATTTATGAAACAATACCTTTACCATGAGTCATATACTATTTCCTAGTGTATTTTGATAAATGCTGATTTTTATTTAACTGACTTAATCCTCTATGGATCTGCAGAAGGGAAATCACTGCCTTGAAAAATATACAAATCCTTCCTAGTACTCAGGAGGCAAAGGCAGGTGGATCTCTGTGAGGTCAAGGCCTTGCCTGGTCTACATAGTGAGTTCCAGCTAGGGATACAGGGAGACCCTGACTCAAAAAGACAAAAAGAAAAAGAAAATACAAAAATCTTGATTTACATAACTCCTTATAAAATTTCATTTTTTAAGTTTCTGTGTTGCAATAGAACCCAAGGTCTCATACATTCTAGGCAATCACTGTACCACTAAATTATTCAAAAATTAGTGTGTGCTTGCATGATGTATGTGGGCATGCACATACCAAGGCATGCCTGGGGAAGTCAGAGAACAACTTTCTGGAATCGGTTCTCTCCTTCCACTTGTATGTGGGTTTCAGGGATCAAACACAGGTCGGCAGGCTTGCATACACCAAGCTTCTTTTTGCTGAGCCACCTCACTTGTGCTCCCTTTTCAGTTTTAAAGAGGAAATTAGAAGATTTTGAGTATCCAATTTTGGAAATTCTTACTACAGGAATAATTATGAGCTATGGGACACTGAGATTCAGAATAGTACTGAGCAGAAAACATATGGCACTCCTGGGAGGCTGCTTTTGCTTTTATCAAAAAGGGATAATTTCCAAATATTTATGTTTCTACCCATAGATAAGTGCTGCTCTCACCCTTGGTCAGAGAAGATTCTTGTTGTAGTGGGCAACAGTAAAAGCAGAAACTCCTAATGGGCCAAATTATTGAGACTAAGTGACTGTTGAGTGCTTAGCCCTAAATGGGTCATCTAAAACCTCCTTCTCCCTTTCAAAGCTCAGGGAACCTCCATGGAAGAGGTGCCAAAAAGAATCTTAGAGCCAGAGGATAGAGTGGAGTGCTGTGAAACGCTGTCTTCTGGACATGACATGGCCATTGTACCCACGAATTTTCATAGAATATGAACGTGTAGATGATTACCTATACACAACCTGCTCAAGACTGGGTCCGTCAAGTCCATAATGGATGGGGGGGGGGGGCTTGTAGGCTCCACCCCTCTCTGAGGAGCTATAGACAGTTAATGGCTGCTTAGGGAAAGGTGGTCATGTTCCTCAGAGAGGTAGTCACTGGTTAGGTGTCCTTGTTCAAGTAAATAATCCCACCCATACTCATGCAAGCAACCCTAATTAAATGCAGTGGGACACACGCATGCGCGCAACGCATACACACACAAACAGGAAAGTAGGAGAAAACTTGGTGGGAAGATGAAGCAATTCAGCAGGAGAGAGGGATAAGAGAGGATAAAGGGTAGGCATGATCAAAGGATCTCATATACAAGAATAAAACTGTGAAAGATAAGAGAAAAAGAACCGAGGATAGCATCCGTGTTTGTTAAACAGAAATGTGACATTTCCAAGTCCATTCAAAATACTTTATTATTTTTATGTTATGTGTACGGGTGTATTGCCTGCATGTATGTAAGTGCACCCATGTCATGTAATGCCTGGAGAGGTCCGAAGAAGGTTGTACTGGAGTTGTAGACAGTTGTTAGCTATCATGTGGGTGCTAGGAATCAAACCCAGGTCCTCTTCATTAAGCAGCCAGTGCTCTTAACCTCTGCACCCCCCCAAGTCCATTTAAAATTGTTATTTTAAAACCTAGAAAGCTTTTCTTCTAGTGAGCAGCCAGATGAAATTTTTGGTATGTTTACTTGAAAGTAACTGAAATTAAAAATAACAGAGCACTGAAAGCCTTCTTACCACAAACTGTCAGTTTTCACAAATTGTTTTTTCAAAATGAGTATTTTAAAATAAAATCAATATTGTTCATTCTTCAAAGTTTTTTTGTTGTTTTGTTTTGAGACAGGGTCTGCCAATAGCCCTAGCCCACCTGTAAGTCACTATATGGACCAGGCTAGTCTCAATCTCACAGAGATCTGCCTGTCTCTGCCTCCAAGTGCTGGGATTAAAGGTCTGTGCCACCATGCTTGGCACTCTTCCAAGATCTTAAAACCTTATTTTTGAGAAGAGGACATTAACAGTGAAAACTCATTTTCCGTTTAAGAAAAAAACAAAACAAAGACCCAAGTAGCAACAATCCTTGTAATAACATGGTTGAGAACCCTAATTCCATGTGACAAAGTATAGAAAGCAAATTCGGTTATGTAAAGAGAGATCTGACCAGAGATGGCCAGCCTCCAAGGTGGCCCTGAGGATCCTCACCTCCTGGGGTGCACCCCCCCCAATTCGGTCCCCTCCCATGGATGCTGCAGCAGAAGTGGTGATAGTATGTACTTTCTCAGACTAGGAAAGGCACCTCAGCCTGTCTTGATGTTTGTCTGTGTCTAGCTCTTACTATTACCACCAGGAGAAGCCAATTGTCACATCTTAAGGAAAGGCCCTGGCAGAGGGGTAGGGTGGGGAGGGGGTAGGTAAAGAGTTCAAGCAGCCATCAACAATAACCAGAGGGCTGTTGCTAAATTATGAATGAGCTTAGATAGTCCCAGTACAACCTTCCAGTTCTGGCCAGCATTTGACGGCAACCTCATGGGAGCCAGTCAGAACACCCACTGATGCTCACAAATTCCCAGCCACAGAAACTGTGAGACGGCAAGTGCTAGTTGTTTTAATTTGTCACACAGTGATTGTTAAAGAACATATCTAAAATTCAGGCTATATAAATTCTTATGACTTATAAAGTCTTTTTTACAACTAATGGAAACAAAATGTATAGTTAGTGGCATATTCTTAAATGATACAACTAATTTCACTTAAGGTTTTGACTCATCTACTTGAGAAACTATTTAAGCAAGTCCAGATCTTCCTTTTGATGTGGCTCTACCCTTATTCACTAGACACAATCTTTTATTTATTTATTTTTTTTGGTTTTTTGAGATAGGGTTTCCCTGTAGCCCTAGCTGGCCTCGAACTCACAGAGATCCGCCTGCCCCTGCCTCCAGAGTGCTGGGATTAAAGGCATGTGCCACCACGCCCAGCCTAGTAGACACAATCTTATATTGCCCGTTTTCAAATAGTTATTTTCAGTGCTTCATTCTCAACCATCACTTCTCAGAAATCTCCTCTTTGCTCTTGTCCATTTAATCAATTTATAATTAAGAGTTAAAAAAAAACCCCTCCTCTTTGTGGATTTCTACGTCACTTCTTTCTGGTTTAATATACTCCTGTGTTCAAATATTTACCTCCCATTTAATTTTTGATAAGGAATTTTCCATCTGTTTCTTAATTCCCTCAGGGAGGCTTTGCAAAGTCTGTCTGTCTCTCTTTGTCTCTCTCTTTCAGGCTGGCCTGGAACTCATAGAGATCCACCTGCCCCTGTCTCCTGAGTGCTGGGAATAAAGGCTTGCACCACACCAGGCCACTTTCCTCTCTCACTAGTAGATATCCTTGCTTTGCTGTACTGTACTGTGCTCCTGCCACTGACATTTCTTAGCAAAACTTTTAAAAAGTCTTTTCTCGTATATGCTTTAAAATCTTGTTTTTAGGGACTGGAGAGATGGCTCAGAGGTTACATATTGCTTTTCCAGAGGGCCAAAGTTCTGTTCCCAGTACCCATCTTGGGTGGTTCACAACAGCCTGTAACTCTAGCTCCAGGGGATCCAACATTTTCTGGCCTCTGTGGGAACTGTACTCACATGCACATACTGCCCCCTCCTCCAATAATTAAAAATAAAATAAAACTAAAAAAAAAATCCAATTTGGGAGGATAATCAACTGTCTTGTGAAAGCCTAAATTGTTCTCTTTTCAATCATTAACTACAACAAACGAATGATACTGCTTTGACAATATTATAAAGGTATACAAGGATCTGAGAAAGGCTCCAAGTCTGCCATTGACACCAGTTCCTCAGGACATACAAGGCAAAAGGCAGACACTGGGGGCACATCTGCCAGAACACAAGCACGTGGTACATGCTTGAAACACTCACCTTCCTGCCAGGAGGAGACTGTTCTTTCTGAGGCTGCCCGCACTCTCTCTGTAAGTTCAATTTTTCTTGTTCAGTAGGTTTCACAGTACCTGACTGGTTTAGCTGTTTTTGGTGTTTGGTGGGAGGAAGGTTGGACTCTAGTTGACGGACCTAGCGAAAACCAATGTAAGAGGAAGAAACACATAAATGGTTCAGCCAAGAAAAACAAATGACAAATAAGCAACACTTTTATTCAGGACTGGGATTCTATGGTACCGAATATACTTTCTTAGCTGGGCATGGTGGTAGAGGCCTGTAGTCCCAGCTACTAGGGAGGCTAAAAGCAGGATCATTTGAGGCCAGAAGTTCAAGATCAGCCTGGACAACAGAGTAAGACCCAGTCTCCCAATTCTTGAAGCCTACTTAAAATTTGTTTTTATTATTTTTATTTTATGTGTGTGAGTATATTGCCTGCATGTATGTAAGTATACCCATATTGTGCAATGCCCGTGGAGGTCAGACGAAGTCATCAAATTCCCCTGGAACTGGAGTTATGGACTGTTGTTAGCCATCATGTGGGTGCTGGGAATTGAACCTGAGTCCTTTGTAAGAGCAGCCAGTGCTCCTAACTGCTGAACCAACTCTCCAGCCCTTGACGCCTGCCTACTTTAATGGATTTATAAATATCTTTTCTGGGTAAATCCAAACCCAACACTGTAAGGACAAGGTAGGAGAGAGGAGACTTCTGGGTCAACCCAGTCTCCAGGAGGCAGAAGTGGGTGTGAAGGGACTGCCAAGCAGGTGTGAGCACTAGTCCTCGGCGCTTTGGTCCCAGAATGAGCTGAACTTTTAGGAGTGACTGAGCTGAGCGTTCTATTGACTGTTTCAGATTGCTCATATGGAACTCATGTCTTTACATCTACTCAGTTCCATGAGGGTGGGCCTATGGCTGCCTTGTTCTGTTGTAGCTTCAGCGACAGCAGAATTTCTCCACAGAGCAGATATTCTAAAGGAAGCCCATGACTCTTGAGAGAGCGCCTTCTCAGTGGTTCCTGACACATTGGTTAAATGGCTAATGACACAGCACAGGTAAATAATTCAAGTGTCAGGTTGTCAAATACTTTTAAAAATTATTCTACTCTTGAAATGCTGAGTCTCTAAAAAGGGCACCAAATTTTCTCCTGTATAGTTACTTAGACCCACAAGATCTGAATCTGATTTTGCCATTTTTCTGGGCAGCTAACCAAATGAATAAGGAATATATGGATAATGTGATTTCCATGAGTCAGTATTTTTTTTTATAAAAGGATTAAAATTACAGGTTTATTTTAATATAGAACTATTTACAAAAAGAAAAATATTTTATAAATATAAATTTATATGTAAGTAAATGAAAAATCACTCATCCTTAAAATAAGTCTGCCATCATAGGATATTCAGATACATACCCTAGAACTGTCTCAATCACATCACTTATTTTTATGGCACACTATTCCTTTTCCACCATGGGCCACGGTTACCTTCTCCCTGGAGTGTGTGAGCTCTGCTCTGGTGTTCTGCACTATGGTCTGGAGTCGCTCATTCTTTTGCCAAAGCAGCTGTGGTTCTTCGTTCATCAGCTGATCCAGCTTGTCCCAGGATAGTGTCTTTTTCTGGCTCTGAAGCTCTGACAGAGGGGCTGCTGCTTCTGAGGCCCAGTTCTTAAGAGGGAATTGCAGAGTTAAGCCTGAACAGCCAACTGATGAGTCTTTCCTGTCTTGAGAATGGTTTCCTATTTACCTAGGAACAACCTTAGTGAACACTTTTCCAACCTTTACTTTTGTCTTCTTTTAAAAAAAGATTTATTTATTTTATGTGTATGAGTGTTTTGCCTACATGGTATGTCACCACATGCATGTCTGGTGCCTGAAGAGGCCAGAAGAGGCATCAGATCCCCTGGAACTGGAGTTACAGACAGTTGTTAGCCACCATGTGGGTGGTTGGAATTGAACCTGGGTCCTCTGCAAGAACAGCCAGTGCTCTAAACTGCTGAGCCATCTCTCCAGCTCCTACTTTTGTCTTCTAATGTGGATGTTTATATACAGAGGAAGAAAATGACACTCTTGGAATTTGATTTTTAAAAAAAGATTTGGAAATTATAATTAAAATGGTTATTGGTAAAGCAGCTCAGTCAACTTCAATAGACAATATTACTGAAGGGCGAGACCTTGTTATATAAAGGACTCAAGTACCTGGAAGCTGGTGGTTTAAAAGCCACCTCATTCTTAGGAAGCTGTCTTTGAAATCAGGCCATACTCTTTTGATTAACAGGACACAAAGGGAATGCTCAGAGAGGCACTGCAACCTGCTTGCTTTAATAGGCTGAACTGTTTTCACATTGGCAATCATATCTTTTTTTGAAATCCTAAAACTAACTAAAATAAATTTAAAAGGCAACACAGCTAGATAAGCTTCCTGTCTTTTAAGCCAAACATGAAAAAGAAAAGAAAGAAAGGTTTTTAGAAAGTGTCAGTCCCAAAGTATTTTTAAAATTGAAACAACTATATTATTTTTCTTTAAATAGCATCAAGCAAGAGATGAAGTAACTGAATTAGGACATACTTTTATTATAGGTCAAAAATTTAACATCTACCAAGACTGACACACTTATAACATTGTTCTTAATTATGTGTAGATTAAGAATCCCTGTGATATTTTTAAATGAGTCACTTTTTTAAACAGCAGCATGAAGTTCCAATCATCTTTTAAATTTTATTTATTTTTTATTTTTATGTGTATGAGTGTTTTTACTGCATATATGCAAGTGAATCTGTGTTGTACAATGCCCTCAGAGGCCAGAAGAGGGCATTGGATTCCCTGGAAATGGAATTACAGACAGTTGTTAGCTGCCATGTGGGTGCTGGGAACTGAACCCAGGTCCTCTGCAAGAGTAGCCAGTGTTCTTAACCACTGAGCCATCTCTCCAGGCCCCAAAGCCAGCCAGCTATCTTTTAAGCAGCTCTTCTAGCCTGCTCATTTGGTAGTGACAAATTATCTTCTGAAAGAACCACTGTTTTATGCCAGAGATTTCCTTTTCAGGAGAACTTTGAGTCTTTTGTTTTTTTGTCTTTGTAAGCAGGTATCCCTAAGTTAGTTTCTTGTACTGTTTCTCTTGGCTTAGTTTTGTAGGGTCCTGAACCTGCCCTTATCATTTAAAGTTTGAAAATGCTTTAGCTTTAGTAGTGCAAAACTCAACTCAGCTATGGTCTTTTGATTTCCTTGATCTAGAAAAAATACTTTTTTTGTAGCAATATAATTCTTTTTATATGATGTTCAAAAATAAACATCCCTGATCTATGGTGGCATACAAAAGTGGGTCCTTGGTGTTATCAACCAGAGGGGACACAAGAGACACAGAAGAAATGTCCTACCATCTGACCTAAGTGGTAGCTAACAAACACATAAAAACACATCGATATATAAAACATCACTTGTATTACATATACATATACATGTATATATGTATACATGTATACATACATGCAAAACCAATCATTATAGACTACATTTATACCTTAATTACAAAAAAGAAATTACCTTGCCACCAGCATTCTGAAGTTGTTTGCACAATGACACCATTTCTTGTTTTAACGCCTCCTTTTCCTGCTGAGTCACTTGGAGGTCGGATTTAATCTGAGACATTTGAAGGTTTAGTTTCTGCAGGATGTCTTCTAAATTCTGAACCTGTATGGTAAGAACAGCTGTACCTAGTGACAGAAGCATACGTGGTCTCACCTCTAGCATGTCCAGGAAAGAATAAACAAGGGAATTCCAAGGCCCTTCCTGTTTCACTTTGCTACCTCCAGTTCCCTTTCCAGCAGCTCAGAGGAAACCCAGAGTATTATGTATATTTACAGGACGTTAAGTTACATATAAGCTTATCTTTAGAAAAATGATGAGCTTGTCTGGAGATAGGTACTGCTGATATGGGCCTCTAACTGATTGCCAGAATCCAGGGGACAGAACCAACCAGTGTCAGCTACCATTGCAAAGGATACTTGCATTGGGTCTTGTAGAAATTACACTTTGGTCTTAGATACTAGTTTGTAAAGGAGCTCTTAGTTCAAAATAATAATCTATACTTGCAGGATCCTACTCTATATTAATATCTCAAATACATTTCAATTAAAGAAATTTAAGTTTGGGGGCCAGGTGGCACATGCCTTTGATCCCAGCACTTGGAAGGCAGAGGCAGCTGGATCTCTTTGAGATCAAGGTCAGTCTGGTTTACATAGTGAGTTTCAGGTCAGTTGGGGCTATAGAGGGATCCTGTCTCAAAAACAAACAAATTTAAATTTGTAAAAGCAAAGTTATCTTTTTAATGTGTGAGGATACCTGCATGTATGTGCTGTGGAGACCAGAACAGAATGTCATGAAGTAGAATTACAGGTGGTTCTGAGCCACCTGATGTGGGTGCTGGGAGCCAGCTTGGTTATTTTGGTCTTTAAATATAATAGGGCATGAACTTGCTTTTAAAGTCCTGCTTCTAAATTAGGAACAATCCCAGCCCTCAGGAGGCAGAGGGAGGTGGATCACTATGAGATCAAGGTTAGCTTGGTTCACACAGTGACTTCCAGGTAGGCTATGACTAGGGAGAGACCCTGTCAAAAAACAATCAACAAAAACAACAAACAAAATAAACTAGGAACAAGCAGTCATTTTAAAATACAGTTCTCACACTTTCATAAGTAATCTCATAGTTAATGCACTTGGATGGCAATGTTGTTTAAATTATTTTGCTCTATTGTAAAGATGTCTCAAATTAGGTCCAATGGAATCATTTAGAGCCCACTTGCCCATCCTCATCTGGAACGTTCTTTCCACTGGGACTTTCACTGGAAGATACTGGAAAATAACCATGGAGACATAGCAAGAACTGTCTATATACCTTTTCCTGTGATGCCACCAGCTGTGACTTTAAGCTCTCATTCTGATGCTCCCAAGACTTCTGCTCCTCCTTCACTGTAGCAATTTTGTGCTCCAAAAGGCTCGATTTTGTCAACTGTTTCAGGAAGGAAAGGCAAGAGAGCATTGTTACAAGCAAGTCTAGGCCCAGTTCATAGGCTCTACTTGCACTGTGAAGGACAAGCCGCTCTGTTCCTGTGTGGAGCAGGGTAAGGGAGGGGAGAGCTTTCCTGACAGCCCTGCTTAATTTCAGGTACCCCCACTCTCTTGGGTCCCCGCCCCCCCAGTGTCTATATTTCTGAGGATGGGCATAGGGCTGGAAGGCAGTTAGAAATCTCGAGTATAATGTAACAATTAAATACAGACTACCCATAAGGCAGGTGAGGGAAAAAAAGCAATGGCTTTGAATTGTTAAAGAAAGTGTACTAGAAAAAAATAGTGTTTGCCTATGAAATAGAGCTCAGATGATAAAACCATATTTCTATTACATGGGACAGTGCTTTATAATTTACCAAGTACCATCATGACAATTAAAATGAGACAATGTCAGACCTCGACTTTCCTAGATCAGGGGTCACAGAACTCCAGTTAAAATGTCAGGCTAATCCCTGAAGCTCAGGGCCACTGCCCAAAGAGAAGTGCTTGCTATGGTCCACACGCTACCACGAAGGGAAAGCCTGTTGCTTTTAGTACCTTATCTACACAGCTATTCAGCTCTTCTCTTAGAGCTTCTTTTTCTTTCAGCAGATTTTCATTGTAGCTTAGAATGCTAGCCATTTTTTGCTGGAAGTCAGAGAGATCAGGACATCTGTGCAGCTGTAAGAGATTAAAGAAGTGAGCCCCGCCATCCCCTCCCAGCAATGTTTATTCTATAAAGTTTAAAAGGGTAAACAGGGTATTTTCATGACCCTGAGATCTTATCTGGTCATATTTCAAGGGATATATAAACTCTAGCAGACTATAATTATCTTTTAATAGTCTGTTCCAGACTACCTACTTTCTAACTCCCTAGCTGACTACTGAAATGTCTGCTTAGACAGATGCAGACAAATGCTGCTAAATAATGATTCTAGCTTTCCATTTACTTTCACAGTGAAATAATACACTGCTTTCCTGACATCATTTTAACTTGTGCAGAGAGAGTACATTACATTTTTACTATGCTTTTAAAAAAGTATTCAAACTATATTTTTCTCAAAAAATTTTAGTCAAGACCATAGAATTAGCTGTGTGTGGTGGTGCACACCTGTAATACCAGCACCTGAGAGGAAGAAGTGGGTTCAGGAGGATGAGGAGCGCAAAACCAGCCTTGGCTACACAGAGAGTTGGTTCAAGGCCAGCCTGGGCTTCACGAGGCCCTGTCTCAAAAAGAAAAAAAAAGAAAGAATTGCAAGGCAATGTGGTTTATATCTCATAATCCCAGTACTCAAGAGGCTGAGGCAGGAAAATTGGGAGCTTATTTGAGGCTAGCCTGGGCAAAATCTTGTTTCAAAAACAAAACAAACCAGAGAATTGGTATAAATCACATATAAGATACCAGCATGTGTGTGAGTTTAAGGATGTGCCCTTCTCCTGGGAAGAAGCCCTCTTGACCTCCTGGTGCCATGCTGCTGGAATGGACACATTGGTTTCCTCCCCTCTACTCTATGGAGTCACAGGAAACCAGACTGCCTTTGTTCCTTGTGAACATCAGTGTGGGTACTGCTGACACTCAGGGCTGGATAATTCTCTGCTGCAGAGGTCTGCTCTATACACTGTAGGATGTTTCACAGCATCTCTGGCTTTAACCACTAGGTGCCAGTAATACTAGTTCCCCAATTTGTGAAAACCAAAAATGTCTTGGGGGCTGGGGAGCAATTTCATCCCAGCCTAATTGAGAACTACTAGAGTAAGAGGCTGATTGTTTCTTACACTCCTTTACCCTCTCCCATAGTTTATGTATTTTATAAGAGCTTTCCTCTTTTCTGTTTAGCTTTCCCATGTTCAATTCTCTGTTGTCACTGTGATATGATCATCTTCCTACTTGAAGCTCTTCCACGTTAACACAAGAAACACTCAAGACAAAATGGACTTTATAGACTGAATCTTGTTTTCAACTGAAAACAAATCCAATATGCCTTATAAGCCTGAACAAATTAAAAGGATGTAAGAAAATGTGCGTTAAAGTACCTGGACATGAGCATAATCTCCTTTCCCCACTACTGCCCTGCCTACCTCACAAACACCCACAAAGCTTGACATCACTTTGGGTATCTAGCAGGGGGATTCTGTTGATCCTATCTGTGCTTCTTTTCAGTGCAATATGTAATATATATGACATGCTTCCATAGCTATAAATCATGATGTCATACAGAGTGCCGCATGCCTTTTCTAAATCCAAGCTGCAGGCAGCGAGGATGGGCTGACAGCTGACTCCTGTGAGTCCCAGGGTCTGATGGGATGACTTCCTACCAAGTGCAGACAGGACTCATGGTTTTGAGTTAGGGGTTAGGGTTAGGGTTAGAGTTAGGGTTTATGTCTATTTATACCAATGCCTGAAAAAAATTTGTAATAAAAATGTGCCTGGTGATGTCCTCCTCATGTTGTTTCTCTCCCAACTCTGCTCCTTTTCCTCTGTTCTCTAGCTTAGCAAAGTCACAAAGCACACATTTCTCACATTATGCACTTGGACGGATCAGTGTCCTTGAAAGGGTGAGCAATACTTTCAAAAGGTAAAGGGCAAAAAGGATGTTGGCGTTTTCTGATGGACTTGGTAGCAATGGCTTTGGGATAGTCTCACATCACAAAAAGACCCTGTGAGTTGTAATTTTAATTTCTGGTATGTTTAAATGGAATAAACAGATTTTCTAGTTGTGGCAAAACAGATATACTTTATACTACAGTGCCTGGTTTGAAAAGGTCCTTATAAGACACTTGTTTGGTACTAGTCCTGTGTAAAACATTATAAAAGTCACAAATACCCTGAGAGTCTTATACCATTATTAGGTAAACGAAACTTATATGCCAATTAGAGATCAGCTCAAACACAACACTGACAGTTCAGGCTTAGCATATACCTAGTTGAGACTCAGTGTTAATAGCATTCAAGGGACACAGGCTGAAAATATGCAAGAAAGAATATTTTATCATCTGATAGTGCCATAATATTAAAGTAAACTGAGGGTGAAACAAATAAATGGAATAACTAAACGTTCCTATTATAAAACGAGACCTGCAACTAAAAGATTCTTGTATGTGGTGAAAATAGAGAAGACAGGACAATATTTAGTACACAGTTTTTGAGTATGCCCTTTTTATATTTAAACTTAAGTCTTTGTTTGAAACTCTGAAATATGTTTCTAAAACCAAATTAAATTGATATTTGGAGATAGGGCCTCACTATGTAGCCCAGGCTGATCATTAACTCATGATCCTACTGCTAGAGCTTCCTGAGTACTGGGATTACACACATGAACATCACACCAATTCTACAGGCCATGTTTGTGAGAGTGCTTCGATAATTCTGTAGAGGTTATTCTGCCTAAGGCAGATGTCTTGTACCTGCTATGAGAAAGATATAAAAGGGACCAAGTTCATTTGGGTCTTCACAAATCAGAAAGAAGAGTTTTAAAGTCATGAGTTAGAAAGTCACCCTCTTTTTAAACAAAGTAATGTTACTTTATCATCTGGCTGGGAGAAGGCATAACAAGAAATTTCTTAAAATGGTTGGGATTCATTAATGGTAACAGAATTTTAGCGTCTATCACAAAAGTTGTTTAACTAGAACACCACTGAGAATTAGCAACCAAAGTCCTTACATATACCTGCAGGTCAAGTCCTCAACTCTAAGTAATAAGCTGGTTGACAGGACATACATGGAGGCCGGAGAAGCGTGTCATCTGGAGCATGTTGTTCCATACGCCCCTCCATAGCACAAACACTTGCCTGTTTCATTTTCTCCAGTTCATCTTTGAGAAGGAAGTTTTCCTGTTCCACAACGTGGGTCTCGAGTTTTACTTCAGAAAGTTCTGCTTCCAGAGAAGACACCAAAGTGGAGGACTGAGAAACAGTCAAACAACAGACATATTCACTCCGATGGGGAAACGGCACCAAGCCCATAGAAGACAATGTGGAGGAACAATAACACCAATTCAATGACGCTGCTGTAAGACCATTTATCCTTATAGTCAGTGGACCTACCTAAACGATCTGCAAAGACTTTCCACTTACATGGCACAGCTATGATTACTGGAGGAGTCTTTGGATGTTCTTTACTGTAAAGATAACCTCCTTCAGGAGATAATGAGTGTGAAAATTCTGTTTCTCCTCAAATTCCTCTTATTAATTTTACTGTCTATCAGTAAATGTTGGCTATAGTAACTATTACCTGAGTGTTTGCCTAAGGATGATTTTCTTTTTTCTTTCTTCAATTTTGCATTTATTAATTATAGCTCTCTAAGAAAGGGCAATTGTTTCTCTCCTATTTATTCAACCAGTAAATTTTGATGATAATATGGATTCAGATATCTGTCGTATTTATTTTATAATTATTTCATCCTGCACTATATTTCATCAATCAAACTGTTCCTTCAGGTTGGGGCCTAGATCCTTTGAACTCACCCTATTTTAAATTTTTATTTATTTTTTAGCACTTGTTTTCTTTCTGGTACCACGAAACACTTCAGATTCAACTTTTATTTTCTCTGTCCTAACCTTGGAATAAAAAATTTTCAAAAAAACCCTAGGTCCTTTTATAAGAGATAGATATTTAGAAAACAACATCTAGTCTCATGAAAAAAAAAACACATCTATATTTCTTCCTCTAGGTCTGTGTATATATTAGAAACCAGGAGTTTATATTAATATCTCAGACCTGAGTCAACATTAGAGGGTTCATCTTAGGTCTCTCCATTTTGACATTTGTAACTTCCTTCTCTAACAGTGAGAAATGCAGTTCCTATAATGTATTTGCTTATTTGTTCACTCCTAGTACATGCAAAATAATTTCAGAATCATAAGTTGCCCCCCCATGAGAGTCAGTTACTGACTAGATCATTAAAGCATTTAGGAGTTCTTCTTTTCTTTAGCATTGACAGCACTCACTCAGGAGCCTAAATTTCAAATTACTTAGGTTGATTCTCTTCTCTCTACTATGGTTACACTATACACAGTGCTGGCTTCATTGTTAGTGTTGTGTTCTATTTTAATATCCCTTCTGCTATTTTGATTGGCTTGATTTATTTATCTGACATATTTAAAGACTGTGTGAAACAGGGCTGGGGACGTAGCTCAGCAGTAGACAATTTGTGTGCACAAAGCTCTAGGTTCAATTCCCAGAACTGGAAAAAGAAAAAATTATGTGAAACATGACATTACTATAGTTCTAAGAGTCAGAGCTTCAGGCAAAGATGAGAAGGTACCACTCTCTTCCTCAGCCCACTCTCCTCTTCAGTCTTTCTACCACATTCCCACTCCCCTGTCCATGCCTTTCCCACCAAGCTTCTCTGGATAACCATCTTCTTAGCATGATGTTTATTATGCTTCTATTTTTTAAAAAATATTTTATTATTTTATATTACGTGTATGCATGTATTGCCTGCATGTAGGTAAGTGCACCCCTGTCGTGCAGTGCCCGCAGAGGACAGCAGACACTGTTGGATCCCCTGGAACTGGAGTTAAGGACAGTTGTTAGCTGCCACGTGGGTACTGGGATTCGAACACAGGTCTTCTGCAAGAACAACCAGTGTTCTTAACTGCTGAGCCATCTCTCCAGCCCTGCTTCTACTGTTTTTTCACATACACTAGCAGGTGCATGGTTTTCCCGTTTCCTTTATTTCTTACATGCATGGGAGCACACTATAGATACTCTCTTGCTTTTTTCTTTTTCCACTTCATGACCTGGAAATCATTTCATATATTTAGATTGTTCTCATTAAGAGTTATGTAATACTCCCCATAGTGTGGCTCTACCCATCACACTTAACCTTACCTTCACTCCTGAGCAGCTAGACTGTTTCTACAACTTTGCAATTACAAATGAAGCTACAATGAATATCCTTGTGCATATGAGCTTTCACATTGTTGTAGGGATATTCTGGGGGGAATTCCAAGACTACCAGATTTACGTCCGCAGGGATGGCATCGGTGTGCATGTTCACCAGCAATGTGTGAAAATGTCTCTGCCCACAGCTTTGCCAACAAAACATGCTACCACGTTTTTAAATTGCTGCCAAACTTTTAAGTGGGAAATTACATACCAGTATTGTTTATTTTAAAATTTTTTATTTTTACTATATTTTTATGTGTACGAGGGTATTCCCTATATGTATGTAAGTGCACCATGTGCATGCAATGCCCACTGAGGTCAGAAGAGGGTATCAGAGCCCCTAGAACTGGAGTTATGGATGGTTATTAGCTGCCATGTGAATGTTGGGAACCAAACCTTGGGTTTGGGAATGTTGGGAACCAAACAGGGTTCTCTGTATAAGAGCAGCTCTTAACCCTTCAGCCATCTCTCCAGCCCCTCATTATTTATTTTGTATATCTCCAATTATGAATATTTTATCTTTTTTGGGGGGGTCTCGGTCTCCCTGTAGCCCCAGCTGGCCTGGAACTCACTATGTAGACCAGGCTGGCCTCAAACCCAGAGAGATCTGTCTGCCTCTGCCTCCCAAGTGCTGGGATTAAAGGCATGTGCCACACCTGGCCCCATTTTTCATCTTTTCTAAAACAACTTATTTGTCCATGTCTTTTTACACTTGCTATCATATTATTGCAATGTCCCTATATTTTCAAGGATTTATTACTTGTAGAAGTATTTTTCCTGTCTGGTTAAAGACAAATTCACAAATGTTTTCTTCTAGTACTTGGGCAGTTTTATTATATATATTTTATTATATAGATAGTATATATAATATGTACATATTTTCTTTTATTGCCTTTTCTGAGTCCTTTTAATTTAAAAAAAATTATTTTTAATTTATATGTGTGTTTTGCCTACATGTATGTAACTCCACTCATGCATGCAATGCTCATCAGAGAGGCCAGAAGAGGGCATCAGATCCCTCTGGAACTGGAGTTATAGATGGTTGTTAGCAGCCATGTGGGTGCTGGAAACTGAACCTGGGCCCTCCACAAGAACAGACACTGTTTTTAACCTCTGAGCCATCTCTCTAGCCCCTTAATTAGTTTTTCTTTATGTCACAGCTAAAGACCATTTTACCTATGTTTTCTTCTAGTACTTAGATGGTTTGCTTTTTATATTTTGATTCCTAACCTAGTTGACTTTTATACCCTCTGTATTTTATGAAATCTCAAATCTATTCTTTTTAATTTTATTTTTTATTATTTATTATATTTTATGTGTATGCATGTATTGCCTGCATGTAGGTAAGTGCACCCATGTCATGCAGTGCCCATGGAGTTCAGAAAGAGGCTGTCAGATTCCCTGGGACTAGAGTTGGACAGTTGTTAGCTGCCATGTGGTTGCTGAGATTTGAACCTGGGTCTTCTTCAAGAACAACCAGTGTCCTAAACTTCTGAGCCATCTCTCCAGCCCTGAAATCTCAATCTATTTTGAAACGTCTACCCAGTTGTCAGGTGCTTTAAAAATTTATTTATGTATTTATTTTTGTTTTACACATGAGTGTTTTGCCTGCATGTAAGTGTACTTGTGTGTCATACAATGCCTACAGAGACCAGAAGAGGGCACTGGATCCCCTAGAGCTGGAGTTATGGACCGTTAGCTGCCATGTGGGTGCTGGGACCTGAACCCTTGTCCTCTGCAAGAGCACCTAGGGCTCTTAACTGCTGAGTCATCTCTCCAGCCCTGTCCAGGTGCTTTTTTATTAAAAAATCCATCCTGAGCCCAATGATTTGAGAAAACACCCTTATTACATGTATTTATCCTTAGTATCTATGGGGATTAGTTCCAGGACCCTCTACAGATACCCAAATCTTCACCAGCTCAGGGCCCTTATGCAAATTAGTATATTTGCATAGAACCTTTCACATTTGTTAATATACTTTACGCACTTCTAGATTACTTAGATAGTATAATATAAATTATAACTACATATTATCTGCATTCTTTAGGGAATAACAAGAAAAAGAAGTCTGTACATATTCGGTACAAGTGCAGTTCTTTAAAAAATATTTTTGATCAGAGCTCAGACAATCTACAGACATGTTACAGTTTAGAGATGGCTCACTTCCATTTCAGGGGGAACTTTCTATCCTCCTTATACATTATCTGGAGTATATAGTAATGTGCAAGTACCATACTCTTTTAATCGTTAAAGTCTTATATACAATAAGTTTAGTATAAGCATTTCTTTTATTTCTTTTGATCTAAAAAAAAAAAAGCTGTGTGTGGATGGAGACCCTACCTGCACTTTACAGCGGTCCAGCTCTTCTTTCAGAATAGAATTTTCTCGTTCCCATTTCTCAAATGTACTATTTCCTGGCTCCTTTTCCTTCTGGCATAGCATTTCTGCCAGACGTTGATTAAGTTTTTGCAGTTCTTCCTTGTTTTGGGAGTTCTTTTGGCTGAGTTCTGTATTTTCTGAATCCAACTGTTGGTTTTTGATTTTTAAATCTGAAACCTAATTAAAATTGAAGTAAGTTAAAAAAATGTTATCTTACTTACACTAAAAAACAGATTTAGAGGCTGTTTTCTCCTCTACATAGAGTTTTAAAATGTGGCTACTCTGCTATGGGGCAGCCAGTCCCGTTGCTTCCTTCCTACTACGAAGGAAGAACCTGTGCATGTCTTTCTGTAAACTTAATTTTCCTTCACACATACACTCATGCATGTAACAAAAGAAACAACGTCTACTCATTACAAATGCAACTGATTCAGAAGCATATGAAAAAGTGAGGCATAATCTAATCTCTGTCCACAGGGAGCCCAATCCTTTACAGCTGGATGCATGTATCACTAGAACATTTCCTATGTAAATAAAATATCCATTTTCTTTTAGCAAAACAATGGATCATTTGATGTTTGGGCAGCCTGCTTTTTCTACTTTTAACATCTTACAGATGCTCTCTGTCCAAGTTGGTGTGTCTGGAAACCACCATATGTTATATATTTTAATGACTGTAGGACATTTTATGTAAAAAGATTTTCCATTCTACTTTGTGCATTCCTGCATAGATATAAACATTTGCCATCATCATCTAATTATTAAGCAGCAAAATGGCAGCATTCCTTGAATCAGATTTTTGGATACTACCTTGCTGATTTAGAAAGTAAGCATAAATATTAATATTTTGACAGCTCTCCTAAAAATGTCTTCCTATAATACTATCAACTTACACTCCTCTTAATAATGTATTTCTCATTTCCTTACATCTGTTTAATCCTAGCTGATATCAGTGTTTAATTTTTGTTACTTTTCATCTTTAGCAGGTGAAAAAAAAACCTCATTTAAACTTTTCTGATTGCTACGCGACTAACCATATTGTACGTCATATCATGTCTTTCTGTGACTTGGTCCTTCGCATCAATTGCCTGTTTTTCAACCAAGTTCTGCCACTTATTTGAAAGAGTGCAAGATATCTTTTGGATGTTAATACCTTGTCTACTTCAAATGCTAAAATTCTTTCCCAAGTATGTCCTTTTCTTGTGATTATTTCAGACATGTTCCTAAATAGGCTTCCCACGCTTCCCGTGGTGTAAGATTGTATGCCAAATGAGCACTGAAAGGCCAAGCCAAAACGACTCACAATTCTGTGAAATGCTATGCAGATTTGTTGGCATTCTGTCTGTCAATTCTGTCCATAACTTTCTGCTTTTAATCATGGTGAGAAAAAAATGAAGGAGCTGACATTAAATCAAAATTAATAAAGCTAGAACTAATGTTCACAGGCAAAGCTCAAAGGCATCAACCTCCTACTCTCAGGTGCTATAAATCTTTTGTTTAGCACTTAGGGTCTGTAAACAGCAGAGGCATTATTTTCCAAAAAGCAGGAACCTAGTTTAGAATCACTATGAAGTGAGTTTCCATTGTCAACCTCAGAATTTACAACCTCATCACCATATACTATATATTATTCTAGTAACTTATTTATGTATTATGTAAACTTATAAATTTCAAATAAAAAAGGGAAAAATTCAGAATCAAGAAACATCGGGAAATTGTTTCCATACCTGTTTCCTTAAATTTTCAACCATCTTCTGAATCGCAGCTTTTTCCTGTTTCACAGTTTCTATTTTTTGCCTAAAGGAACAACAAAGATTAGGAGTTAAGCTTTTAAAACTGAAGTTAGTTTCTGAGTCCTTGAAAATGCCTTAAGAAAATTTCAGTATGCTATATCGTACCACAATTCTTCCTGAGATCCATTTAATTCCCCTAATTTCAGGTTGGAGATGTTGTCTTCTTCATTTAAAGTAGTAATTTCATTTCTCAAAATAGAATTTTCCTCTTGAAGCTTTTCAGATTCGTATCTGAAGTGCAGATTAAAAAAAAAAAGTTACAACATGGCTGTCATCTGGTATCTTTGGAAAATATTTTCTAGTAACTTCCAATAAAGTAAGTATTCCATGCCAGTTAAAATAGAAATCAAAATTAGTTGTCTCTTAGTACTTGGAAATCAAGCTGTAACATATTGATTCGCTTCTTTTGGGAAATCTCACTAAAAGACATTGGAGAAGTGTGGCTAAAAATGTCAAGCACAGAGACAGGAATCGAGACACAAAGCCAACACTGGGTGCTGAGTTTCCCAATGGTAGCCATATTGCTTTGAAGAAATGACTTCACTTATCTCCATCTCAAGTCTTCCCTGTTCCCAACAGACAAAAGCCACATTACTAAATGGTGTGATATTTAGTTTTAGGCCCCCAGGTACCTACAGAAAGAAAATTTGCTACATAGATCAAAGGGGCACCAAATACACACAGTTTATTCTTCTCGTTACATTCTGATATTCTGAAATAAAAATGGTCTGAGAAAAAACTACATTCAGAACTAAATTATTTTATACCATAAAGATACTTCAGACATGGTATAATATTTTTATGTTTTTTTTAAAATCAGCTTTGCTAGAATACCAAAATGTGATCATATTTCATAAAATCAGGTTGGGAGTGGTTCAAATTAGCTCTACTTTTGTCTTTACTCTTCAGGCATATTTATTAGACTCCAGTAACTCCCTGGTAAAATTATATGCTCTAATACAAAAAATTTACTGTTTTAGGATATCAGCATGTACTTCAAATGACAGAAGTATAAAACTACAACCTAGTAAACATTTTTCCTATATTAGTATAAGAGAAAGTTGTTATCTACGAAGTGAGTTAATATTACACTAAAGGCATTCATCCATAACATGCTTCATGAAGTAAGGACAGTAACACTGAGCAAAACAATATCTATCCATCTAAAGGAAGTGCTAGGAAAGAGTTAAGGATGCACACCGATGATGCATGTGGTTAAACAGCAGACACTTGGCATTTTGAACTTCCACACCCCATAGGAACAACAATGATCTGCTACGAGGAAAGGGATGCCTCCTAGACAAGGTTACTCTACTTGTTAATGCGACACAGAAGCAGAAGGAAGTCTAGGACACTCTTCCTGAGCATTAACAGGTTAGTTTCTCTAGGCACGGCAAGCAGCAGAAGTTAGATTTGATCAGGTACTCTGCGGGAGTCCATGAGGTCTAGAAAGCCCATACGTTACCTCAGAAGTTCAACTTTCTGCTGCATCTCACTGCACGTGCTTTGCAAGTCATGCATCATTGCCTTCAGCTCTTCCTCCTTCTCTCCCTGAGAAGGTGCATCTTTTTGCTTAACTAAAGTTGTGACTCGTTCCCTCAACTTCTTAGTCAGCTCCTGTAGCTTTTGTTTCTCCAGTTCTAACTCTGCTATCGTGGCCTGTTGTTGAAAATGTGTGTCTTGAAGGCTTAGGAGAGCAGTGTTTTCCTCCAGGATAACTTGACTCTGCACTCTGGGCTTTTCTTGTGTGTGAATTGTTCTGCGGAACCAGGCAATTTCACGTGCTTTTACTCTAGCCAGGAGCCGTGTGCTTCCTGGCTCACAGCACTCGGTTTCTTGCTGACACTGTTTTATGATATGGTGCCGGCTCGTAAGCTTTGGCACACGCTCTTCTGGGGTCTGACTGAGTTCAAGCACGTTTTCATCCGAGTTGACCTCCAGGTTTCCTAAAGGGGCTTCCCACAAAGAGTAGCTGTCATACTGCGGGGTGGCTCCTTCCAGTAGCTTGTCAATCTTCCCTTGAAGTCTCAGCACCAGAACATTCAGCTCCTCATTCTCTGCTTTGACCTCATCGTAACTCTTTTCCAGGCTAAGGAACGTTTCTGTCACCTCCTCCATCTTCTTCAACTCATCCTGCAACCTGAGAACTTCGGTGGTGAGTTCTTTGTTGTTTTCCAGCGACTCGTCATAGCGTGTCTCCATCACTCTCAGCTCCTCCTGAAGACAGTCGCTCTCTCTAGCAGCATCTTCATATAACAACTTATACCTGGAAGATGCATCTGGGATTCTCTCAAGCATCTTTAATTTCTTTTTCAGCACTGAAATATCAAAAAGTAGGTTCTGTTTCTTTTCAGAAGCTCGGTCACAGTCTGCATGTAAGACCATTAGCTGCTCCTGAAGCTGACTCACCTGATTCTTCAGGTCCCAGGACTCAGTCCTGGTGTCTTCACTATTTTCAAGCTCAGAAAAGCACTCTAGGGAAACTTCAGACTCCCCAATTTTAACCTCCTGCCTCTCGACAGAGCTTGTCCCTGTACTCCCCAGGTCTTGGGCCTCATGGTCTCCCAGGTCACTCAGGATGTGCTTGGTGCTTACACTTTCTACTTGCTTCATTTGTGATAAAAATGGTTTTGCTTCTTCCACAGAACTTCCAGAAATCTCGGTCATTTGCTCCTCTAAACAAGATGACATCACTGACCCTGGCTCTAATTTTTTCAGCTTCTGTTGCAATCTAGAAATTTCAGTCGCCATTTTTGCATTTTCCTTCACTGCGCGCTCATGAGCTCTTTGCAGGCTGATGAGGACGTCTCCATTTTCTTCCAATAGCTGCTCCCCTTGCTGAAGCAGGGTCATGGCTCCATTTCCTTCTGCCTCCTCCCCTGCCATCGCCCGACAGCCAGCCTGAAGCATGGGGAGAGACGCTACCCGCTGCATGCCCTTTATTGTACTCTGCAGCTGGCAGATTTCTGCACTCATCTTTGCCTTCTCTCGTTCTGCTTCCTCAAGAGTCACTCTGTGGGCACTCTCCAGGGCCATAAGCTTGCCTGCCATCTCTTGCCTCTCTTGCTCACATTCTAGACTTTCAAGCCACTGGCTGGCCTGCTGCTCAGAGGCCCCTGCCTGGCCCAGCACCCGCTCTCGCTCCCTTAGCTCTCTTTCGTGACTTTTCTTCAACTCAAGTATCTGGTCCGAGAGGAGGCTGTGCTGGCTCTCAGACACATGCCGTAGGTCTGCCAGGTCTTGGAGCAGCTGCTCTCTTTCAAGAACCATGCTGTTCACATGTTCTTTGTATGTCTTCTCCAGCATCTCCCTCTCCTGGCTCAGGACCAGAGAAGTTGCTCGCTCTCTCTGGAGTGTCTCCTTCAGCTGCTCCTTGGCTTCTGCACACTCCTGAGTGAGCTCATCCTTCTCGAATTCCCACTGGGCCCTCTCCTCCAGGTGCTGCTCCAGGAGGTCCTTGAGCTTTTGGCAGTGGCGCCCCTCCAGGTTTTGCAGAGCTTGTTCATATCTCTTGGTGACTTTCTCACAGTCAGCCCGACACTGGGCTTCTATCTGAGAGGTTCTTCTATCACACTCTGTTTCCACTTTTTCCCTAAATGTGGTCAACATACAGCATTACTGAAACTGCTGCCAACTCCGGAAGCGAGCAAAGCAGACTTCCCACGTGCAAAGGGGCTGCCTGGCAAACACCGGAAACACTTTCTATGAAGGATCTTACTTCCCCGTGATTCGTACATACTGGGAAGGGATCTCTTTTCTGGGAGCTAAGATAGGAAGTCATAAATTGGGAAAACTTACCTTTCTCTAAAGCAGGGGGAAACTTAAAAAACCAAATTCTTTGATATCCTCCTGAATGTATTTATGTGTTTTAAGGAATTCATGTGTGGCACTGTAAACATAGCCAAATACACGTGGCTGGAGGGGTCACAGATCCTAGAGAAAACTCTACCTCTGTCATAGCCCTAGACAAATGTAATTTTTCATTGTATGCTAAAGATGGATCCTTATATTTACAGACAAGTATACCAGTCACCACTCATCAAAGAAACCAATGTCTTAAACTGGAATTTCACATTAAATAATCAAATACATATTGACTTTACTCCTAATTTGGGAAATACTCCTTCCCTTGAATGAAGTAGGCATTGTAGGACTTCAGTGACATAAATTAGGCATATTAATAAATTCCTTCTTCTTTCACTTCTTATTTAATAAAGCATCGTTAGTTTAAGCAGTGCAGAAAGCTTGAAAGCTCTCAATTATACTGGAATTTCACACAAAGAAGGTAAACACAAAGTGCCATTTCATAACTCTGGGAGGAAATATAACTTTGCCCAGAATCCAGCTTATAAATAGCTTTTCTCAGAAAGCAACAGGGTTGAAGTAGGAAGGAACCATGTCCAAGGCTATCTTATCCTCATCTGGAGCCACAGGAAATACAGTAAGTCTCAATACCAGGAACAATTTCCTCCTTCAATACTAGCCCGCTCCCCATGCACATACATCAGAACAGTTCCAATAACTCCAGGGAAGGCTCATGTACAAACAGGAGGGCAAAGGTGGTTGAAATTTTTTCAAGAGAATCTACTAACTGTCTAGGCTGCTCTGCCCCCTGGTTTTCCAGGCCTCTCTAAATGATGTGAACATCTGGTGTTGTGAAAAGCGGTGCTGGGCTGCTTCTGGCTCCCCTCACTTTCTTACCTTTCTTCTTGAAGTCCCTGTTGGTGAAGTTCCAAGAGCTCTCTCCTCAGCTCCTCTTTCTCGACAGCATGCTTCTGCACCAGGCTTTGCAGCTGCTCCTGGAAAGATCGCTCCAGGTCCTGAGTCAAGCCTCTCACCTTCTCTTCGGTCCAGGAGCTACCCTGAGTAAGTCCCTCTCTCTCTTGGTGAAAGCTTTCCTCTGCCTGCTCCAGTCTGGCCTTGAGCTCCAGCTCATGCTCCAGCCTTAGCTCCTCACGTAGCTGAGTCTTTTCCTCATCAAACACCATTTGTAGTTGTCTTTTCTCCTCCTCGTGCCTGCAGGTGGTGCTGTGGAGGGCCTCCTTCAGCACCACGGCCTGCCCTTGAAGGTCTGCAATTTCACTTCTAAGGTCACTTATCTGTTTCTCCAAGGTGTGCATTCCATGCTCATACTTTTGCTTCATGGCCTCCTGCTCCTTTTCATGGGTGATCCTGGTTTCATCCAGCTCCTTTTCATAACAGTGCACCTAAGGTCAGACAGTGGAACCACAAGATGATTCAGTGTGAGGCCTTGGAAAAAGGGATGCTGGGGCAGCAAGGACTTCTGTCCCACAGGAAATTCTGTTTTCTCATTCTGACTGAAAGTGACTTAATTCAATAACATCTGAAGTCAAATATTTAGACAAGGTCTGCATTTATTTATTTATTATTTACTTAGTGACTGATTGATTTATTGATTTGTGTGTGTATGGTATAGATGAATATGTGTGCATGTGTATGAAGACCAGATGAAAATCTTGGTATCATCCTCAGGTACCATCTACCTTTTGCTTTGAGATAGCATCTTTTACTGGCCTGGAACTCACCAAGTAGACTAGCCTGGCCAGGGTCTCTCATTGAACTGACAAAGGACTTACTCAACTTTGTGTTTCATTATGGCCTGGCCTTACAGAGTTCAAGAAACATTTGAATTAAATTAAATATTCAAGACCCTAAGTTTGCACTGGAAAGAACAGGTGGGAAGGCAAAGGGATCACCCGCAGAGATTTACTTAGTGCTCAACAAGAGCTCTTCATAAACTAGTAAAACTCAAGTGAATGCTGGGGAGATAGTTTAGTTGGTAAAGAGGACCTGAGTTCCATCTCCAGAGCTGACATTAAAAATCTGGGCACGGTGGCAGACACCTGTAATCCCAGCACTGGGGAGGCAGAGACAGGAGAGCTCCCAGGCAAGCTGGCTAGTTAGGAGTGTTGAATTGGTGAGCTCTGAGATCGAGTGACAGACCCTGCCTCAATAAATAGAGAAGAGTAGTCTGGGAAGACACTGGACATGAACCTCTAGCCTCCACACATCCACATGCCCACACACATGTAAGCATGCACACATGTGAACATGCATACACACACATACAAATACATATGCAGAAAAAAAAATAATGAAGGTAAGTGGATGCCACATAGTGAAGGACTGGGAGGCCAATCATCAGAATTTGTATTCAAAGGGCTGCATCAAATGCTACATCAAAGGGCTACTTTGGTTTAATTAGGATTTTTTTTTGACAAGTTGGAAATAAAATAATTATTATAATACGGAAGGCTGAGGACAGTACATTTTGGAAACTCTGGAGAGGAAAAGGCCGTGACCTCAGTCTGAGGAAGTGGGTTCCTGGCAGACACTAGACTGGAGTAATGCACAGGAAGGGCTGGTCTGTGAGGGCAGCAGAACGCCCCACATAGCATCAGAACTCAGAGATGTGAGAAGCAAGCAAGACTTACTTTCTCTTCAAGCTCCAGTCTCAGGTGACACAGGTCCCTGTGGTGCTGTTCTTTCATCTGCTCGATGACCAACTCTGCTTCAATGCTCATATTCAGTGGGTTGCACTCTTCAGAATCAAGCCCTGAAAACACACAGGACTCATTGACCCTGCACCTCGGGTTCTTTCATTGTCACAATCTGGCATCTGGGAAGGGGCATCCAGCTTAACTAAGAAATTCTTTGGGTCTGGGCTACTAGGAAACAGCAGAAGTCAAGGGAAGACTCTGGATTGCAAGCATTAGGACAAACAAGAAGAAACTAAGGTGAATAGATTCTCTTAGGTTTAGGTGCTGTGCCAAACCTTAGTAGAATCCATCTTTTAGAATGATAAATGGGGGTTTAAATGTGGAAAATGTTGGATAAATGTGAGCTCCTCTTAGCGAACATGATCCATGGTGAGGGAATAGCATGAGGTGGTTTGGTTGAACCAACCAGGCTTCTAGTCATCCAGAAACAAACCACCTGGTGACAAATTAGCAGAGGGGAAATATGGCCAGGGAAATGAATGAATGAATGAATGAATGAATGAAGGGCTGGCTAGCATACTTACTGCTAGGTCATAAGGGGTTAACTTCAGGGGTCAAGATGTCTAATCTATCACTCAATACTGCCTAAGATTGTTTTACTGTTGTGAGTTTCCTGGTGGGGTGCATCCCCACCTTAAATTATCAGCTAAAAATAGGGCATGGCTTAGGAGTGTGGATGCAGCAATTTGGGAAAGGAATCCTCAGCCCCTTCGTATGCGCTTACTTCTGCAACTACCCACGATGGGGACTGAGAAGAACACTGAAAATGTGAGCAGAAGTCGGGGGCTGAGCTAGTGCAGCATAAAGTATTGTATCTACTATTAGAAGTCTCTTCAGGCAGTAAGACCCCAAATGGTTTTCTCATATGGAGCTGCAAAGAAAAATGGAGAATGTGTTCTTGGGCACAGGTCTAGCAGCTGGAATTGATAATCTTGCCTTGGGATTTCTGTTCATGATTCTGGCTCACTCCCAACTGAGTAGTAGTACATGGGTAAAAGCCACTCCAAGATGGCAGAGTTTCACATATCGATGAGGAGCACAGCCAACATTTAGGTGGAAGAGCTGATGAGATGTAGCTCATTTCCACCTTTGACTACAGTAAGTAAGCCAAGGATCAGAGGGACCCCAACCACCTACTGATCTTACAGTAGAGAGGAGGGGGAGGAATAAGCCACCTTCATAAGGACCAAGAGGAAGGGAGAAGGTATAAATAACAAGAGAATTGATATGAGCCCTTGCTAAAATTCAAACCTGGCACACTGAGGAAAGAGCACAGCATCAGGGAGAGAGCTGAGAGCAAATATGAGATGGTTCCCAAGCAAGTCTGCCCTCTAACTGTGCCACTCAACATCTCCCTCAATGCCACAGACACCAGCCCTTAACTTATTTCCTATTCTGCAGAGGCAACACAAGCATCCGGCCTAGCTGGCATAAGAAAATCAGTTATGGGTTCTGTGGTTTGTGGCTGGCTCCTTCTTCCAAACCATCTTCATACCAGGAAGGAACTGGCACCCTCAGAGTTTGATGTGTTTCATTCCTTTGTTGATGTACTTCAAAAATCAGACAGAAATATTTTCATAAAGACTTCAAGGACAAATGAAAACCTTGACCACAAGTGAAACAGCTTAAGAAAAGAATACTGCTCAAGTCTCGCCCTCCTGTGCTCCAGAGGTTTGCGATGCTCTTAAAACAAAGTAAAACATAGATACCGAAAAGATGGTGTATGAATGTGTTTACCCTGGCCAGGCTCTATGCCACCACAGTTAACACTAAGTTCTTCCGATAGCGAGTTCTTCAAGGGGAGCTTGAATACTTTGCCTTGTGTACGGTATTCTTCTAGCTCAGACTGGAGTTCATCCACTTGGTCTTGTAAAACCTGGGGTTGAAAAACGAACACTAGCTTTACACCAAAAGCACAAGCAACAAGAGATAAATTGGAAAACAGAAAAAAAAATTGTGCTTCAAAAGACATTATCAAGAAGTAAAAAGATAAAGGCTGGAGAGATGGCTCAGTGGTTCAGAGAGCTTGCTACTCTTCCAGAGGATTTGAGTTCGGTCCCCAGTACCCATGTCAGGAGGCTCACAACTGCCTGCAATTCCAGCTCCAAGAGATCTGCTGCCCTCTTCTTCCCTCCTTGGGTACACACTCATGCACCCACACATACACACAGACATTCATATCTACACATAATTAAAAATAAAGCAAATTTTTAAAAAAGGAAGTAAAAAGACAATGTATGCAATTGGAGAAAAAATTTGCTAATTATATATCTGATAAAACATAATTAGAATTTATAGACTATTGCAGCTCAAAGACAAGAAATCCAATTTGAAAATGAGAAAGGGATATAACAGACACCTCTCCGAAGAAAATACACAAATAACCAAGTATATTATAAGTATACTTTTAATAAACATATTAAAAGAGCCCCAAAATTGTTAGCTATCAGGGAAATGCAAATAAAATCTATGATAGCATAAGATAACTGTTAACAAAGATGTGGGGGAACTGGAACTCTCGTACAGTGGGATGTAACCCAATACAACCGCTTTGGAGGAGGTCTGCCCATCCCTCAGAACGTTAAACGCTGATTTACCATATAACCCAGCAATCCACTGCTGGGTATATATCCCAAGAGAAATCAAAGTGCAAGAATTTGCATAATAGCATTATTCCTAAAGCCCCAAATGTCTACTAACTAATGAATGGAAAACCAAAATGCGATGTTATCTGTATGATGGGATTTTTAAGTCAGGCTCTAAAAGCAGTGTTAAATTGATACACGCTACAACATGGGTGAACCTTGACAATATCCTTGGGAAAAGGAAACCAGTTATGAAGGACCACACATTATATGAAAGGTAAGGATTAGGCAGACCTATACACAGAAAGCAGACCAGCAGTGGCCTATAGCTGAGGTACATGGGAGAAACTGTGGAGCAGGGGTTTCTTGTTGGAGTGATGAAAACACTGGCAAATTGACTGTGGTGAGCACTACACAGCTTTGTGAATCAGAACAAAAGATACAGAATTACACACCTCCAATGCACAGAATGTATGGTATACAGAGCTGTCACAAAAAGAGGGAGATGGAGTATGTTACTGAATATGTTAAATCTGTAGTGAAATGCTTCCTCTAATCATGTAGTTATTAAAAATTAAAAAAAATAATGATTGAAAAATAAAAAAAAAAGAGGGAGATGGATTGGGGGGGGACTAGAGAGGTAGAGGTGATGGAATTTAGAGGAATTTAAAGCAAATACTAGACCTAAGAGCTAAAACTTAATTATAAAGGCAGCAGAAATGTGTCATCTCCTCAAATGTACACATGTATTTTCTGAGAAGGTAGACTACAAGCAATCTCTCCAGGAGGTGACTGTTTCATACCTCTCCACAAGTACAAATTTTATCTAAAGCAATTAGAACTCAGTTATATTTACCTTGTTAAAGTAAATAAATACTTTTTGTTTAAGAAAAAAATATCAAAATCCTAAGCTTAGAGGAGTTAATTAAAAAAAAAAAATGAATAGAAAACTCCCGCTATTCATAGGAGTACTTGTGTTTCCTTGGTAGGCACTGGGAAGGGCTTACTAGCTAGACTTGAGTGCTTCCTGGCTTTTGCATTCACCCTCACTTTACCACTGTACAGAAGAGAAGCTGAGGTATCTGCAGAGTTAAGTGACTTGCTGGACACGCACCAGGAAGTGCTGAGGCTGGGCTTGAACCCTGGTCCTCCCAGGTCACTCCACCTCCTCAGCCACTCACCCTGCACTGCTGCTCATACTCGTTTCTCATCTGTGTCAGCCTCTCTTCTTGAAGGAAGAATTCGGCACTGCTGGGATCGAGGTCACCAAACTAGAAGGGGGAAAGGGCAAGGCTGTCATTTTTCCCAAGTGCCCTTCTTTGACCTATCACATTCCAAAAAGTCCAGTTTCTGGTGTCACCCAGCCTCCCAAATATGACAGGAATGTACCATTTCCACCAACCGGAATGGGGGTGGGAGTGGCAGCTCAGGCAGAACGCATCTCAGTGCCAGGGTTCCCTCACAGCCACCCGACTAAATTACATCCTGCAAAGCTCCAGCTTCTGCTAGGTACCCATGTTGTTCCCTAATAAAAATGGTCTTGGCAGCTTCCGCTCTCGGGTGAATGACATTTTGGGCAACCCGTCAGGAAGTCAGAAGTAGACAGATTTACCTTTTCTGCTAACACGTTTTCCAAATTGCGCTGAAGTTTGTTTGTCAGAGTCTCATATTCTGCCAACTTCTCGGCATTTTCCAGAAGCTCATTTTCGAGGCGATTGTTTTCCTAGAGAAGGGAAAATAAACATGGCACGAATTAAGAAATAAGCAAATTGTTGTACCATTTTATAAAAAGCATAAACCAGTGCTCCAAATTTTACAAGTCTGTGTATACTGAAAGCTAGAGAAAAACAGAAACAAAAGGAAATATTAAAAAGATGATACCTATTCTCATGATCAGAAAGTTCGCCTTTAAAGAAAACCGTAAAAAGTTAAGCTGCCCCATATCTTAGCCACTAACAGGCCCATGTGGACACTGTACACTTAAAATGCATCTTGTACCCACTGAGATACAGCTGTGAGAGGAAAATACCAAAATCCACAGAGTATAAATATATACAATAGCTTGTGGCTATTGTTGCATACTGATTGTATTTCAAAATCATAATGCCTTGGAGATATTGGATTAAATGATTTGCAATTAATTTCACTTTTTAATATGACTTTTAAATGGGAAAAATTACTTCGACAACAAATGTTTATTTAAAAAATTACATATATGGCTTTATTTTTGCACAGTATTATAGTGGAGTATTTTAAGTGAGATAAAAATATCCTCAATATATTGTTGAATGAAAGAAGTCTAGTTATAAATGCCCTGTTTAGGGCTGGCAAGATGGCTCAGAGAGTAAAGGCACTTGCCATCAAGCCTGCTGACCTGAATCTAATCCTGATGGCCCAGGTAAGAACTGACTCCCGAAAGTTGCCCTCTGACCTCCACATGCTCATGTGCACAGTGTGTGCCCCCAACACAAATGAACAAACAAATGTAATATAAAAAAATACCTTGTCTAGGCTGTAGCAAGAAAACTCAGAAAAAAACATAAAAAGTATATTAAATCTAAAGTCAATTAATGAAAAATTAAATTAAATTTAATTTATGGGTATTACAGCCTGCTTTATACTTAATTTACAAATTTATTTTGACTTAAGGATATGAAAACTACATGTAAATTGTTCATAATTTATATGTTTAAGTGATTATAATAATATAATACACCAACTAGAACTCATAAAAGTTTTTTTTTTTCATTTAAAAAAGATCTTTTGATGGACGTGAAGATGCACACCTTTATTCCCAGCACTCTGGAGGCAGAGGCAGGAGGATCTCTATGAGTTCAAAGCCAGCCTGGTTTACCTAGTGAGTTCCAGGCCAGCCAGGGCTATGTAGTGAGATCCCATCTCAAAACCAAAACCTTTCACAGTACTTTTTAGAAAGATTTTACCCACATTTGTTTAAAAGAAAAATACGCACTTACATTTGACATCTTTTCTTCTCCAGTGTTAAAGGCTGATTGGAAGAATGTTATTTTCAAAGTACATTTTGCCAAAAGAATAGAAAGCCAGCATATTTTTAATGTATTCTAGTTCACACTCTCACATAGCAATATGGAGTAAAAAAGAATGTACTTGAAGCATTTAAAAAAAACCACTACCTTCTCCTAAAATGTGATTCTAGTACTTTAATCTCTGAAAGAACAGCCAAATTGAGATGCTAAAATAATACGGGGCAAACTCTGCATACCAGACGCTGCTCCTCTGGAAACCAAATCAGATATGCTGCCGACCACAGGGAACGCGGAGGTGGGTATAGTTACAGCAATAGTAAAAGCACTGTCCCCAGGCAACAAGAAAGGAAATGTTAAGGGGCATGAAAAGGCACTGTGGCCTGAGGTGCAGAGGAAGGTGGCAAAAGAGCAGAAAAGAGGAACCCAGAGCCCATAGAAGGTGCAATGGGTGGGGCAGGCCTGGGAGTTGCTCGCAGGAACTGAGGTTGTGGAGGAACGGTGATGGGTATGCTGGCCGCGGTCTGGGGACTGCTAGCAGTTTTTCTTTTCTTTTTTTTTTTTAACTAACAGTACCAGCATGATTGCATGTATCTTTAGTAAGGTCGTTCTGATAGGCGAGGAAAGGACGGTGCAGGATATATATTAACCAGCTGAGGGGTCATGATGAATTCTGAGCCTAATCAGAGGCTGGGGAATGCAAGGGGAAGGGATCAACTTCAGAGGCATTTCAGAGTATTAACACAACTTAGAGACCGATGAGTGATAATTAGTGGGGATGACTGAAAATTGCAACTTCTGGGACTTTTAGTATATGATGATGCTGCTGATTAGAGGGAAAATTCAGGAGATGCCAACAGTAGTGCTGGCCTTTGTTTCTGATGCGTGGGGCCTTAGGAACAGCAACAGTAGCATACATTTCACATATACTTGATATACTGCAGACACCTTATCTGTATCATCTGATACAATGCTCACACCAAGGTAAGGGGTCAGTATTATGGTACCCATCTGTACATTAGGAAACAGGCTTAAGTAACTTCATCAAAGCTTTCCAGTGTGCAGTGGTTCTCCCAGACACCCCGTCCCTATCTGATGTAAGAAGGTAAGAACAGGCTACACTGATCAACTCTGTCATCGCACCAGAATCCTGGACTTGCAGTCCCAATCTTAGCAAAGCCAGTGCCATGTCTGAGCCATGACCCAGTAGGAATCCCTGGATTAAGCCTGGTGCTGTCAGAGAGCTGGAGTGCTCACCGTAGCTACCCGGCATGGCCCTGGACCACAGAGCTAATAGGAGGATTACCTTCAGGGAGAGGGCAAGGCGGTCCCGGATGTAGTTCTCTTCAGTTTTGGCCTTTTCAATTTCTTGCTCGAGTTCCACACGCTGCTTGCCCACCTGCTGCAGGATCTGCTCTCTCTCCTTCCGGAGTTCATTCTTTAAAGTTGCTATGCGCTCCCTGTACTCTTCATCCAGTTTCCTGTGAGAAGGGATAATCAACAAGTGGCCTTCAGATCCCTCAGGGGCCACTATGTGGCTCTGCTAAAAATGAAAAAAAGAGTTGTAGAGCCACAAAGCACAGGGAAAATGTCTAATGTGTCCTGCCTTCCTCCAGGCTGAGCCACACCTAACCCTCTGCAGCCAGGTGTGGCCACATAGGCAGGTAGGTAAAGCACCCCTTGCTTTGTACTGGCCCTGCTCTGGGCTGGAGAAAGGGGAAGAGGGATGAGGGGGAGGGGGAGATCTTGCCCCCTGGTCACACCTGAGGTTGTATTCGTTCCTCCGCTCAATGGCCGCATGGTGGTCGTCCACCTCTGAAGCCATCAGAGACTTGAGTTTCTCAGCCTTGTCCAGGTCTGACCGTAGCTTCTCTTTTTCTCTGACTACTTGATCAACTCGTTCCCTAGAATTAGAAATAAATTGAGTTAATAGGAAACTGTTTCTAAGCAACCAGTACACCAAAAAAGCTCTCATCTGGCTTGCTTCAATAGAAACTCAATACCAAGACAACCAAATCCTTCCCCAAACAAAAAGGCATTCCACTGTTCCCTTCAAAAGCTTCAGGCCAATCTAAGTTTCACCTTGTGTTCCTCCATTTAAGGAGACTGGTTAGCAGCTATATATGAAGAACAGCCATGTTGGCCTGTGGACTAGAAGAGTGCTCATCAGAGGCAGCTCGATGACTTGGTGGACAAGGGGAGGGGGAATGGAGCAGGTGAGCCTTTGGCTCCACTTACAGCAAATGCCGGATCTCAGCCTTGAAGCTGGCCAGAGCTGCCTGGTGAATGCCATTCTTGGTGACCAAAAGTTCATTTTCCAGAGCCAGTGTCAATTCTGTCAGGTTGACATTTCCATCCAGGCTGAAATCCAAGGCCTAGAAATCAGAACATGAAATAAATTCCAAACAAATCACAAGTTCCATCTTCAGAAAGCAGAAAATGTGAAGGTCATTCAGAGACTGAAGACAGTCCAGAAATGAGATGCCTCCCTTTCCTTAGGGACAATCTTCAATCTAGAACATATTTTTTCCCTCAAAAAATCAAAATACGGCTGTTTATATTTTGTCAAATACTGTCATTTACAAGTAAACAAAACAGTATAAACTGAATCTTTACTAACCAAAGATCAGTTTAGAGCTTTTCTTACATTAATCATTTAAGAGTTAAAAACATGGAAATATTTAGCAACAGACTGCTGGTTAAAGGGGGTTGGAAAAGTTACTTCTTTAATCTGAAAACATTAAGGACACATCAAATCAGAGTTTCTACAACAAAGAATGACCCTCTCTTCCTGGAACTGCCATTTCCTGCCACACCTTCAGGATCTCCTGGCTGTTCTCAATGCCCTCTTCCTGCCAGGTGTCCAGAATTCTCTCCACAGATGCATGGCCCATCCCATCATCCAGGCAGGAGAAGACCCGGAAGCCAATGCTACTTGTCATTGCTGATGGAGCTGTGGTCCGACGCCCACTTTCATCAAAGGACTGGAAGAAAAAAGGGTAGAAAACTTAGTTGGAGCCCTAGCAGTTCAGCTATATACTGGTTAAAACACGGATTTGCCAGTCCTGACCCCAGAGAGCAGAATTTAATTTATACTGCTAAGGGGCAAAAAAAAAAAAAAGCTATGCAGCGTCTTTGATCTGTGGTTCCCAGGGAGTCAAGCCTATAAGCTTATCAAAAACACTCTTCTGGGAGAGTTCTCCATAGATGAGATATGTCTCTATTGACATTAGGTTTCCTTTGACCTCCAGCTGGCATCAAAAGGCATAGTTAAGAGCCTTCCTAAGATGTAATTTATTGTCATTTCTCAAGTCAACCTTTCCTTTCTAATGGTTTAGTCTTTCTCATTCTCCAAAAGAATACTCTCTCTTGTTGGTATTTTATTTTAGACAACAGAATAATTCATCCAAAATTATTAAATGGATTTAACCCTTACTCTGAAAGAAAATACTATTCTTTTTCTTTTCTTTACTTTTTGTTTTTTATTTTTAATTTTATTTTTTATTGAATTTTTGCTATTTTCACACAATATAGTTTGATGGTATTTAGTTCCCCTACACTATCTGCACCTCCCTCCATTGCCCTCATGCCAAATTTAATGTACTCTCATATATATATGGCAGCCTCTATTTTTTTTAGGACAAGGTCCCACTATGTAGCCCATGCTAACCTTCAGTTTGTATTGATTCTCCTGCCTCTGCCTTCCTAGTATGGGGTTACACGTGTGTAGCACCACACCCAGATCTCCCATTGATTTCTTACCTGCATGGAGAGATGCCTTTTTAGTTGTCTATAGGGTGTAGACGCTGATGGTGTGAGGGATTTTCCATTTTTAAACAAACCATAGAAAAAGTCTTCAACACTCATCGTACCATCAGGATCGAGATTATGAAATACTTCCTCAAGCATCTAGAAAAGAGCGATCACACATTTTAAATGCACTCAAAACAACACATGCTCAAAATATATTTCTGGCCAAGAGAAATACACACCACTGTTGACCTGAAGACTCTAGAAATATAATTATGCCTCCATTCTTTTTTAAATGAATTTCCCTCCCCGGAAATGATCTCTTCCCCTCTCGCCCAAACCAAATAAAAGCCCGTTTGCAACATCTCCACAGCCACACACGGTGCAGTAACCAACTGTTCTCTTCCATTCCCAGTTCTAGAGAAGGCAGTCTTTAATGTTGTAAATATTATTCCAACAAACTGAAAAAGTACTTAAAACATAAGGTTATAACTTCTCGTGGTCTTAACAATAGAAGTTAGTTGGATCTCCACTATCCATGTGGCGATTCTAGGTGACATTTGGCTTATTCTGAAGTTTTCAAATTGGCCTGTGTGGTCAGTTTTAACTGTCAACTTGACAGAATCTAGAACTACCTAAGAAGCCTCTGGACACCTGTGAGTGATTATCTTGATCACATTAACTGAGGTGGGAAGACCCACCCACTGCAGGTGGGGTCCTGGACTATGTAAGTAGAGAAAGGACACTGGCCTTGCAATCATTTCCTCTCTGTTCCTGATTAGGGATCGGGTATGACCAGCTGCTTCAAACTCTTGCTGCCTTGACATCCAACTATGATGACCTATGGCTTGAACTAGTTACTTCTGTCTGGGTGTTTTATCACAGCCTCAGAAAAGACAGAAAGACAGCACGCTAGCTGCAAGCACAGTAAATCTGGTCTGGGACTGCAGTGATGTAAAGGTTTGGGTCTGAGATCCACACTTGGGGTTAGACCCTTACTTGAAACACCACTGTACATGCTGGATTTTTGTTTAATGTGTTAGGCACCAAGACTGGGTGAGAAGAATTTTGTGATACATTCCAAGAGACAGAAATATGAGAGAATTGTGACTGGCCATTTTGCACTCTCTGACAGCCATTAAATAGTCCTCATATAACAAGCTGTTTGGAGGCTGGCCTGAGAGATGGTTTGTTCCTTAGCCCTACAGAGGAACAGGAAGCGGGGGGGGGGGGTAGTGGCATAAACTTAGAAGCCACACAACAGGGAAGAAAGGTATAGACCTCCTATTGAGATTCTTGTCATTTTGTGAGATAAAGTTTTTACATAGGAATAGGCATCCATGAACAGAACAGAAATCACTCAGTCTTACTAAAATACACACTGTTGTCAGAGGCTGAGGGAGGGGCCTGAGATTGTGTGTTTTTAACAAGCTCCCAAGTAATGCCCAGGCCACCGAGGTGCAAGAAGACAGAACTGGCAACAAATTTTATTTCAACCCCTTCCCCAAATTCACAGCCAATAGCAAACATGTGTTCCATTTTGGGGAGGATTCTGAAACAAGGCAACTCTTTCTTTTTAAAAAAATATTTTATTACTTTTTATTTTCTGTGTATGAGTGTATTGCCTGCATGTATATGTAAGTGCATCTGTGTTGTGAAATGCCTGGGGAGGTCAGAAGAGGGCATCAGATCCCCTGGAACTGGAGTTATAGACAGTTCTGTTAGCTGCCAAGTGGGTGCTAGGAATTGAACCCAGGTCCTCTGCAAGAGCAGGCAGTGCACTTAACTGCTTAGCCATCTCACTAGCCCCCAAGGAAACTTTTCTGATAGAAGGAAATGTTTAGAAAAAGCAATAGGTTCTAAGAGCAAATCCTGTGATTGAGTCCACAGGATGGCATTTGGGACAAGATGCTGAAGGTGCCGAAGCCCTTAGCTGTTCTGCATCATTCTCAGTACCAAAGACTTACCACTTAGACGAGGTGGCATTCAGGCCCATCCAACGAGAAGTGACCACAAAACTGTGGTGCACCAATGGAAGTTAACGAGACATATTTTACCTCTAACATTATACCTATACAGCTTGACCTGGGACCCTGGCTGAATCAGTGCCGCTTCCAGATGGCCTACACACCATTACTTAATCCATTCAAACTGCTAGAGCTATAGATTCTTGTTAGTTATGGTGGGAGGTGGGAAGTAGTTAGCAAAAGGATATGAATTCAGAAGAGGTTGGATAGACAGGCTTCTGCTGAAAAGAATGAAGGGCACAGGACCAACTGAAGCATCTACCTGTCCTAGGAGCAGGAGGCCCACCTAGAACTACAGACATTTTTGTTTCCACAACACACTGGCCAGGTCTGTGGGTGGATGACTTCCCAGTGTGTAGGTTAGAGGGAAAACAAACCAACCATTAGGGGCCAGATCTGGGTAACTACAGGGGCCTGGAAGGTGATGGGAATGACTGAGGTAGGGAGACTTCGAACATCAGAAAGTGGTGAGGCCAGGCAAGTGGAGCACATGGCTGACTGTCCTCTCCGAAATAGACAGCTGGGTCTCGCTCGCCACAGGATATTTAGAAAAATTTTGAAATATTGCGATTTCAAAGAGTATACCACAACACTTTTTAAAACACTGAACAAGTCAAATAAAAGCATTTGGAGGCTCATGTAGCATCGGGGGTGTAGTCTGCCAGCCCTGCCTTCTTAGGTGTCTTCACTCATGGAGGGCACAGTATGAGTGACAGCCAGAGACACCGAATCTACTTCTCTCTCATGAGAACACCAGGCATCGGTGATCTCTGTCTTCATCTACAAAGGAGGGGTGACAGTTCAAACTGCTTTCAGGGGTAAGATCCCAGGATCCCAAGTTGTATGCTAATAACATCATCTTGAACTCCCAACTTTCTAAGTCCAGAGCTAGCAATGGAAAGCACAACAGCATCTTGTGATTCTTTAGGGGGAAAACACCAAGTGCGGGTGTGTTCAGTGAGCAATGCCTTACTCACCCCCACACCACAGGGGAAGAACTGAATGTGCCCCTTCGTGTCTCAGGTTGTAGGAAGTCCCAGAGGAAAAAAGGCAGGTCCCTCTGAGTGGCTGCAGTTTATATTCCAAGAATTATTTTTAGATAATTCAAGTTTGTGCAGATTTTCCTGTTAAAAACAACCTGTGTAGGTCACTGGTTTATAAGTGAGGACAATGATTTAATTTTATGACTCAACAGCCACTGCTGAAGTCACCACTGGGACACTGAAAAGGAAGTGAAAGGGTATATAATGGTCACACACATGAGAGAAAGAAAAAATTTAAAAACAAACTTTTCTGCAAGTCAGTCCACTTGGCAGCTTTTGAAGATAAATCTTTCTTGGTTAGGAATGTAATACCACTTTTTCCCCCCAGAAAGCAGCCAACCTGGTTTCAAATACCATTATATTACAATGAAGGATTCTGGAGCTACTGTAACCCTAGCCTCTAACTCCCCCTAATCCTTATTTTTACCTTTTGGAAAGACACGTCTTAGAATTATTTGCTTTCCTGTGTTTCAAGGCTATTCACACACCAGTCCTATGGGTCCTCTCTTAATGAGAAAAACAACACGCAGTGTTACCAAGTAAGACTTTTGGGGGGCTTCTTCATGATTCCATTTCCTCATGACCAGAATGTGGTGAAGGCTGTTCTGGGTACCCTGTGATCCCTGCATAGTGGTATGTGGAGGCAGCCTGTCCTATCCACTGCTCAGTCTGCCTAAGAACTCAGGGACGATACTGAGATCTTTCCAAAATTGAAAACTCGGCAGCCTCCCATTCAAAGTACACCTCCTAGCTCAGATCTGTGCCATTTTCTGCTCAGTTCTTCCTTCATACTTCCCCAAATTTCACCCTTTGATTGAAACTTCCATAAATATATCTGGCCTGGTAGCTGTGCTGAGCTCATGTCTGGTCATCTCAAATGGGGTAACATACTTAACACAGTGAGGGAACAGAGTATGCACTCAGTAAGTACTAGCTATATCAGCTTTGTTTTTTCTACCATATAACATGACTTCCCCAAAGGCAAAATCTTGAAGAGTGACTTCCCAGGAAAAGACAACAGTCTCCTATCGAGCTGCAGGAAGCCACAGGATGACCATTCCCAGCCTGTGGCCAACCAAGCACTTCCCATAATCCCCAGTCAAAACATACTACCAGGCTCACCTCTCCATCAACACTCTGCAAGCCATACTGCTCACAGATGGAGACCAGCTTCTTCCGGTTCAGGTGACCATCTCGAGTGATGCCCAGATCTTCACAAACCTCTTGTAGTTTCTCTTCTATCCAGTCTTGGGGAGGGCAAGATCCACTCTGTGAAGCATTCAGGTCATCTGGGTTCCAAAACCTTAGCTGGCCTAAAATTGAAGCACATACTGTATTGTCTCCAAAGAAACTGCAAAGAGAGGGTGCCTCATATACAAGAAAATAGATATTTGGAAAATAAGCATTGCATTAAAAGACTGTAAATATTGACCCTATTTTGATATGGAACTGAAGTCCCAATGTAAACTGGAGGCACTGTTGGTTCTGGGATAATCCTGGTAAAGAGCATCATCTCCCATGCACATACAGTCCAAGGCCTGTTCTAGTCCATCTGAAAACTCATGAGCATAAGCTATCATCCAGGAAGGCTGGCTGAGAGTCAGCCCTGAGTTTTATAAGCCTTGCCTCCACTATGACTTCCAGACTGTTTAATTTCTGCTTTCTTTCTAGTCTAAATACTAGAGCATCTTTTATTGAAATGGGAACAGTCATGATGAACCTGTCAAGATCCACCTATTCCTTGAATCTTTCCATTTGAATACTCTGACCTACAGACACTTAACAATTCAACTTGAAAGAAGCTTGCAAGAAGGTTAAGTTTTGTTTGCAGACAAGGGACACACTGCTTATTTAAATGTCATGATTATTTGTCTTGAATTAACAATCTCCACTTCTAAATGGTCCACTTACATGTGAGTCTGTGAAGTCATCACTTAGACATGAGATAATTACTGGCACAATTTTATGTGCCTGGAAGAGCCTTGGAGAACTGAAAGGCGCACTTAGTGTCACCCCTGCTATTTATTGACAGAAATTAAGCCCATTACTGCCTTGTCTTTCCAGGCTGGAGACCCATTAACACACTGTTTTAATTACACTCAAGCACTGCTAATCTGGGGTAAGCAAGGAAAGCAAACTGAGGGCCTGTCAGTTGAACCCCAGTGCCATCTGGTGGTTACAGAATTCCAGTGTACTTAAAGACTGGACATTTGCAAAGGATGTACTTTAAGAAGTTACTGTTTAGGTTAGGGACATTTATAAATTAATTTGAAGGTCTGTAGAGAAAGTAATCGGCCTCTAAGGGGGCTGCAACCTATTAGCTGCCGTCTTTTGCACGATGAAAATAGCTAGGACTTGAAGATCATGATGCATCACCCAGGAATGGGTTTTCTGTTGCTGCTGTTAATGTAAATTACCAGCCAGCCTCTAGCATAAGCAGGAAAGTGGGTATGGAAGAGTGGCTTAATGACAGCAGCCATGCCTTCCCTCCTCAGTGGGCCAGTCCCAACCCCCATGCCATCCCTTACCTTCAGCTTCATACTCCTCGCTGTGCTGCGTCTTCCAGTGCTAGAGGAGGCAAGAGATGATTAGTCAGCTTTTGACCTGAACCCCGAGGTCCTAGCTGCTTCTAGGCCACATTACCCTCTGGCTCTAATGTGATCATGGCAGTTAGTCACATGACTCAGGACCTGATTTTAGTCACATGGTTTTAGTCTTTTAGCCAACCAATTAAGAGGTAAGGCCTAAGAAACAGAAGTCTTTTGCAAGACTTCACCAACATAAGTACAGGCTTTATGGATCTCATTGAAGATTTGCCTTGTCATTTTTAGGACTACTGTGCTGGTCAGTTTTTGTCAACTTGACACAAACTAGAGGTACCTGGGAAGAAAGACTCTCAATTGAGGAATTTCCTTTATCAGATTGGCCTCTGGCTGTGTCTGTGAGGCATTTTCTTAATTGCTAACTGATATAGGAGGGCCCTGTCTGCTGTGGGCAGTGCCATCCTAGATAGGAGGGCCTGGACTGTATAGGGCCTGGACTGTATACAAAAGCAGGTAGAGCATGCCAGAGGAAGCAAGTCGTAAGCAGTGCTCTTCCTTGGTCTCCTCTTCAGTTCCTGACTTACTTTCCCTCAATGATGGACTCTAGCCTGTAAGCCAAATAAACACTTTCTTTCCCTAAGCTGCTTTTGGTCAGTGTTTTATCACAGCAACAGAATGCAAACTAGATCAGTTGCTTATTCAACAACGGAACTTGTTATAACCCATTAAAGCAGTCCAAACAAAATACTCGAGAGTCCAGTAACCAGCAAATGTTTGTCCAAATTTATAAATTTGTTCTTCAGTAAGTATGTACTGAGTTCTCACCTTGGTACTAAGTCTTGGGAGTATAACCATAAGCAGAACATATTTCTTGTCCCCCAAAGTATATATGCTCATGAAGACACAGTGAGCAGAAAAGAGGAAGAAACTGATGTTGTGATGGTCCTTGAATAAGATATTTGAGATGGAAGATGGGAGGAGACTTCCTGGAAGAAGCAATGCCTAAACTGAGCCCTGAGGGGTAAACTACAGGAGCAAAATGAACAAAGGAAGCAGCTATGAGGTGCTGATGTAATGAGGCCTCTTGTGCTTCTGGCAGTGAACTAAGACAGAGGCAGTTCACCATAGGTAGGCTGGATACCAAATTCAATAAAATATATACTGCTAGTAAATTATACCGGACATAGTGAAATTTATCTGAAGTAGACCAATTATAGCCCCCTTACCATGCTGTTTCTAGTGAGTCTCCCTGACAGTCACAGTATGCACTTTTTGTATTATTAAAACTACCCAGCCAGTGATACAAATCAGGACCAAAGCCCAGTCCTTGCTCCACTGGCCAAGTTCTGTAGAAATCTTGGGATCAGTTGCAACAAGTAGGTTTGTAGGGGCTCTGTCCTCTCCAATAAGCTGCCCGGTGTTCCCATCCTACCGGAGGTTCTACAAACACTGAAGGAAGTCCTGTTAAGAAAACCTAGGCTGCTGTCACAGCAAAGATACAACTTCATACTGCCAGATGTGGGGGCACATGCCTGAAATACAAGCAGCTCTCAGGAAGCAGAGATAGGAGGACCGGGAGTTTGGGGTCAGCCTGGGCTTCATAGCTAGGTGGCGGGCTATTTAGAAGAACAATGGGAGGGGCAAATAAGAACAAACAGTACAAAGATATATGAATGAAAACGTCACGTGCAACCCACTTCTTCGTATGCTAGCTCCAAAATTTGAAAAAATTAAAAGGAGACGAAAGTCAGATAGAACTTTATGAAAGTTGCTTTTCCTAACAAATAACCAGTCCACTCTCTGGGATGGCTGAACTTTACCAAACTAGTTGCATTTTTAGGCTCCTGAAGTAAACACAGCAGGAAAATGGGCCTGATTAACTCCTGTCTGCAGAGCCTGGATTCCTCGTGGCAGATGGGGTGTCGCATGAAAACACCTACATTAAAGTCTTTTTTAGTTCAAGTTGGTAAGACTTGCCATTCTTTCAGGCAACATAAGCTCATCTACTTCATTCCTCACATTCACTCATTTTTCAGTTACTGTCTTGCTCTGTGACAAAATGCCTGACCAAAGCAACTCAGGGAAGGAAGGGTAGTTTTAGCTTACAGTTCCCAGGGGACACAGTGCTTGGGGCAGAGAAGGTGTGGCAGTGGGAGCCTGAGGCAGTTGGTCACATTGCATCCACAGTCAGGAAGCAGAGAGCCATGAATGCTCGAGTTCAGCCGGCTTTATTCAGTTCAGGACCCCAGCTCATGATGGTGCCGCCCACAGTTAACATGGGTCTTCCCACTTCAATTAACATAATCTAGATAATCCCTCACGGACATCAGAGGCTTGTCTCCCAGGTGATTCTAGAGTCTGTCAAGTTGACAATATTAACATCACATTCATGGTAGCTCTCTCTTCTTCAGTCAGGGACAAGCATCTGCCAAAAGGGACAAGCTCCTTATTTTACTTAGACCTTAAAGACATCCCAGACTCAGCTCACCTAAGTTGAAACCCCAAAGTGAAATGCTGAGATAGATTGTTCTTGCTCTATAGAATACACCCAAAGGCCATGTTTTGCTAAGTTCTCCGCAGTCTATTCTGTTCACAATCAAAAGTGACTCATGTACAAGGCACTGATGGAACAGAACTGACAAGCTCAGGGTGGTTTCTTCTTGTTTTCTTGTGGTTACAAGTTCATCAGCTCACATTTCTATAGGAATATGTATCTCTGAGCTGGTGGATACATTAGCATGCTCAAGCAAGGAGTGGCAGAGCCAACAGTTCTCCATGGATCTCCTCAATCACTGTATCTATCAGAATTTAACTGCTATTATAGATACAAGTTTAAATCAATAGAGGCCCACCAATAAAAGCATCCTGCCTGTCTGTCCTTCCCATTTATTTCCTGATCCAGCAGAAAATGATCCAAATGCTCACCCTACTCTGGCATCCAAAATTGTACAATTCCTTATGCAGCATTTAAACATGCTAAAATGAAATACATTATATCTACCTACAACAAACTAAATGGACTTTATGATTACAGAACCATTGGTCAAAATGAAACCTATCAAACCACAAGAGAGGCAATGTCTTTTAACAGCAAAAGCTGATAGGAGAAATGGCAGAAAAATGTTATCACTGAATTCAAACAATAAAAAGCCCCCACTGGGACACATGGCCTCCAATCAAAAACCTAACAGCAACACATGCCTTCAGAAAGTCTTGGGCCACAATTCCAAAGTCGACAAGGTTTTTGTGGCCACAATGAAATTGGTTTCTTTTTTTAAAAAAAATATTTTTTATTTTTTTATGTGTATGTGTGCATTGCCTGCATGTAGGTAAGTGCACCCATGTCATTCAATGCCCAAGGAGGACAGAAGAGGCTGTCAGATCCCCTGGAGCTGGAGTTATGAACAGTTGTTAGCTGCCATGTGGGTGCTGGGATTCGAACCCCAGTTTTCTGCAAGAACAGTGTTCTTAACCACTGAGCCATCTCTCCAGCCCCTGAAATTGGTTTCTTATATTTGCTTATTTCTCTATTCATGTTAAAATATCAAGCAAAGCATTCAGAGAACAAAGATGTTCCCATATACTATATCCTGCACCTCACAGGTCTACAGACAGGGTGGGTTTGCCAGATTCACTGTCCCGAATGGAGCATCCCTACTGCCATCTTTCTGAAGTTTTCAACCCTAACTAAAGAGAGATCCAGTGTGGGGGCTACTGTATAGACTTAGGCCCAGACTTCTTGGCTTACTTATGAGGTTAGCCTCAGGCAAGTTTCTTGACCTCTTTGGCCTCAGTTTATCTATCTACAAATGGGAATAAAGCAGTGCACATTTCATTGAGGGGAAGGGTAAAGTGCTTATCGTTGTGCCTGGCACATAATAAGCATTAAAAAGTTTTGGGTTTTTTTTATTAGGTATCTGTGTATGCAGTACATATTAAATTCGTATCTATGGGGTCCTTTTCATCACTGTTTTAAATTAAGGCACTCTTAAGTAAGCTTACAGAAGTATCTTTTGAGGGAGGGTTGAGACAGGGTCTCCCTGTAGTCCCACCTGGCTGGAACTAGCTATGTAGACCAGGCTGGCCTTGAACTCACAGAGACCCACCTGTCTCTGCCTCCTGAGTGCTGGGACTAAAGGCATGCACCATCACGCCCAGCTAGAAGTATCCTTTTTTTGCATAAAGAAAATATTTTATTTTCTAATATTGTGTGTGTGTGTGTGTGTGTGTGTGTGTGTGCGCGTGCGTGCGAGCACGAGTGCAGGTGCTTGCAGAGGTCAGAAGAGAGCATCAGATCCCTGGGAGCTGGAGTTACAGGTGGTTGTCAGTGGAAGTGGGTGCTAAGAACCAAATTCGAGGGTACTGTGTAAGAACAGTACTTGATTTTAACTGCCAAGCTATCTCTCCAGTCCCTGGAAGTATTCTTTATTCATGTAAATCTGTAATAAAAATTCCAAGTCTCCAGCAGAGATACAAAGAATAGAAAATTTACCCCGGAGGCATCTCAGAACCCCACAGTTATCTCAATACAAGTCAAAGCCATGGGAATTAAAAAGAAGGAATCATAATTGTTCCTACTGAATTATCTAAGTATTTAAGCAGTAACTCCACTACCACCGAGACTGCTTTAAACTAGGTCTGTTTATATGTGACCGCCAGCAGCATATGTGGGTATTATCTTTTTGTAATGAAAAAGCAATACAATTAGTTATACCCCTGAATGCAGTATTTTCACTTTCTATCCAAAGGCATTAAATTTTTTTAAAAAAAGAAACAGAAAGCCATATGTACAAACATGTATATTGTGGCACTTTTTATACCAATAAAGTATTGAAAACAACAAATATTCAGCAATGGGGCATAAAGTATAGCAATGTAACATAATGTAGTCATTAAAAGTGCAATTAAAAGGCCATGTGGAAACATGGAAGATGTTTCAATAAATGTTAAATGAAAGAGCATAATAAAAATGCAATCAATGCTATGATTATCACTGACAAAATAATATTTATACAATCAGACAAA